GTAAAGAGACACCTTATATCATGAAACCGTTGACCCAAGCATCACCTCAATCCCAGCAAAAACTTGCCATTGAAAATTAATCACTAAACTTCACATCATATCCCTTCAATCATTTCCCCCTCATTAGTATCCCTCATACTTTTTTCACCTTCTGGGGACAATTGTACTATCATCTGTCCATAACTCTCACCTATTACCAAGTAGTGTAGTTTATCCCGATATAAAATTCTCGCACCCACAGAACCTCTAGTAAGGAATACGAGTGAGAAGGTTTGTCTCTGAAAATTTGAAAAGTCGAGAAGGTATTGACCGAATCGAAGTCCACTTCTCAGTTTCATATTTAGATCGGATATAGAGGGTGTCCAGTCTGTTTCTTGCTGTGAAAGAATTGTTGAGGGGGTGTAAGTACGACAGGAAGATCAAAAAGGGGAACTCGGGGAATAGATGTGCATGCATTTGCTACCGTGGATTTGAGTTGTTGGAGTTGGTAGAGTAGGGTAAACATCTTATCGACAGGAGATAATTGAGAGATCAAGATCGAATTACTTTCAACGTACATGATTAAAACCTGAGGCTGAATGAATACGGCTGGTTGTTTGTACGAGTGAAGGACGAATGACGTCGATTATCATATTCTATTGCTTTGTTGCTCATCGCCGTCGACCTTAACGGAAGGCCGAAGAGATACTAGAAATTTGTACTTATAAAAGTTTTAGCCTTGCTTGTGGCCAAAGAATGTCAAATTATAATACACAGATACGGTAAGAAAGATCTGGGACATATAGACTTCGCACAAAAATGCAAAGTCTACATATCCCGTAAAACAGAGGCCCTTGCCCAGAGTAGCACCTCGATCCATTCCGGACGTTTTGCCTCTAGTGCTAGCGATAACTTTTCTACCAAATACTTTCCGGCGCCTTTTGAGAAACTATGTAAGGTACATAAATATAAAGATACTCCATAATGCATAAATATTAGCATTGCTATGTCGTCACCGTTCATCAAAAGGGATACCAAAACATCGCTGGCTGCTAGTGGCCATGCTATAATGGTAGCGCCCTGTTCTATTTGAAAAGTTTCCATGTACGAGAAGAGTGATGTACAAGCAGTTAAGTATTCATTTTTGTGTTGACTTTCAATGGAAGCTATGTATGTAGTCATTTCATTCGTCTTATGCAGTGTCGTCCTGTTGTTTGAAGTCAGTGGACAGCCTAGTCAAGTCCTATATTTGGGACTGAATAATCTTTATACATACTGGATGAATTCTTCATTTTTGGATTGATATTCTGGGAACTTCTCGTGCTGGCTGAGAAATATACCCATGTGCCCAAAAATGGAATTGTTATCAATATGGGTGAGAAGGTCCCTATGAACTGTGTCTTTCGGATTGAATGAGTTCAGGATCAGTTGATCCCTCCAAGCCTCGAAAGAACCACTCCATAAGTTACCCCCTATTGTTTGGTCTAAGCAGACTGAGAGCCCCTGAAGTAATTTGCGTGTTTGAACCAATTCAGCCACAGGATCGATTTCTTCGCCCCTCAACCTCTCTCTCGACAACGATAAAGAATTTATAACCATGGACAGGGAACATAGAGATATTGCATCTGAAGCAGATGAGTAATCCTTTAAAGCTTCATTAAGACCAAGTGTTGCACGACTGTGATACTGCAAGGCAGTAGCAACCCAATATTGTGATTTGTCAGTCTCAATAGTCGACATATGAATAGCGGCGGAGGCTAAAATGGCATGAAACAGAAAAGTATTTGCAATTGCGTGATGGACCATAACATCACAGTAAAACATTATATCTCTCGAATCTTTGGAAAGAATAATGGATGTAGAGGTTGAGTATTGATGCATCAATCTTAGCTCTAGAGCTCTACGATTATCATCTTCGAACTCTGAAGTTGTGGGTGAAGTCTGAGCCGAGAATCCAGCAAGCAAATTGCCTTGTGTCTGGTTTGATGGCTGCGAAAGGTAATTGCATGGTTCACCTCTTCTTGCACAAATTGCACATGACGGTCGTGTTTCGTCGCACTGAAGTTTTGCATATCAGCGACAGCTCGGTGTAACATTTCAACAAGTCAGATGTTTCGTCCGGACGTTCCGAACAGAACATTCAGTAATCCCGACTAGTAGATTGAGCGTAGGTTTTTGGTGTTCAGAGGTACCTCGATGTTTAAAAGCAGTTCATTATTCAAATGATTTAAACAATTCATGCCACTGAAATGTGCTGTTTGAATTCTGATATCTCAAACATCTTGTTATCGGACTGCAGTCTGGACTTTTGGAACTCTGATACAAGCAGAAATTGTGCTTCAGAAAAATAGAAATCGAAAAGCAGAAACATTATCAACAAGAAAAGAAATGAGACAAACTGACCTTTACCCGTCTCCTTTTGCATTGTGTGCAGCCATTTGAAGACTTGGTATGAGCTCGTCGTTTGGACATAGAGTTGGGTAGCATAAAAGGTGGGAGTGTTGGGCGTATTTGTTACCAAAAATCGTGATGTGGTATACGAAGAACACGAAGGAATGTAGTTGAAATTCGACCTTTATCCATATGGGGCGGAAAGGATTGCCGACACTGGTAGTTAGGTCAAGGCAAGTATTAGCTGAACACCGAATACCCACACCGGCGGTGGCGAAGCCAGTTTAGCTTTAGCACTAAGAGACTGTGCTTTGGTAATGAAGGGAGCTGCCGCATTGCATCAAATGTTGAATTATTTGAATGAACAACGCTTCATACATTCATACAACAGCTTGCGAATTTAACGTACGCTGACTCCTAGCGATAACGATTCCTGTAGAAGCGGGCTGCATTCGCGATATTATATTTTTGAAATTCACATGTTCACCGCTTCCTTGCAAGGACATCAACGGGGAAGTTCTGCCTGCGAAAATCAGCGGTGAAAGACGGAAAGAGGAGACTGAAGGGGGTTATTTCCATAGAATTAGCTAGATAATAAGTGGGGTTATAGGAGACCATTCCTCGTATCAACCTCTTCTCTGTGAGACATTGTAATATCACGTGATAATGAGGTATATACATTGGTTACTTATCCAATTAGGAGCTGGTATCGTCTTAGCCCTGTCTACTGGCTTCACGATACTTCGAACGTCATATTTACACTTTGTATTTGATTTTACCATGTGAATTTGAAAATCTGCTTAGTAACCACTTTCCAATTTACCCCCCTCGTGCATTCGGGTAAAAGCAAAGAAAGAGAAAAGAAAGACAATCCGTTTTCACACAACTCAGTAAGTCACTTTGAAATATTGCAACAATTGGAGTAGCTCACTTGTCATTTCTGACAGTTTAAGAGCTGAAGAACTGAGTCGAGATAAAAAGTAAATTGAAACCTTCTTCGAACTTTAAAAGGAGGCTGAAGTACTGCTTTCAACTAAAGATAAGATTAAAAGTACATCAGGCTCGATTCAGACTGCGGTCAGATTACGATCATAGAATGATGATTTAGATTAAGCTTTTTTGACGCCATTCTTCAGCCGGTGTCAATGGAATGGCGCCTATGGAGCATTTTTCCTTTGTAACCTCTTCCTTTTTCCTTGAACAAAATTATATCTGCCGTAAGAGAGTCCTGTTAATTCTATTTTTGCACCATAGCATACAATACTAAGAATAAAGGGAATGATCTGGAGGAGAGAAAGATTAATGTATTGTATCTCGCACTGGGGCTCATGCGGCGAGCCCATCCTTCTTTTTCTAAAATCCTTAAATATCATAAAATCTTCCGCGACAAGCCTGCTTCGATATTATTCGCTTATCTTCAACAAAGCTACCACGGTATCTTGTGGTAGTAATAAATTGCATGTCACTAAATACTAGAACCATACGTTGACAACCGCACCGAGTTGCATTGGAAAGAACGGTCCTTTCAACCAGTCTTATCCAACCAGATTCGACCTATACTTAAAGCAACCTCAATGCTCCGTACGCCCGGCAGTTTCGCCATGTTAGTTCAGAAAGAGTCTGTCCCCGGGAAATTTAATGCGTTTGTATGGACTACTACTACAGATACTGAAAAGGGTTTTCAAACTTTTTAGCCAAGGTGGGGATGGCCAAGTTAGCTTTGTCCACATGTGTTCATTTCCAATGCAAAAAACGTATGATGAAATGATGAGGGCTCGGAATGAAAGATGCAAGAAGCAAAATGCAAAATGTTCAATTTAAATTCTAGCGCATTGTAAAATGACGAAATCGGGAACAAAGAGCAATCGAAGTTTCTTCTGAGCAGTACGGAGAATTTTGATTGATTCAGAGTACAAATGAACAAAATTGCATAAGCTTGACCTAATGTTTTTCGCATAAAGTCTAATAGCAAGTATAAATCACAGAACTTTCACAGAAAGTTAAATATGAAGAGCAGCACGAAGACGATAAAAGTACTTAACAATTAACATCATGAAATAATTTACAGTAGTCCGCCTCCTTCCTCCTTTCTTTGCTATGATCCACTGTGTCGTTCCTTCTCTCACATTTATTTTCAAAAGCATGGGAAATCCCCATCCAAGAGTGTAAACCATGTCCAGAATTTGGTTGTGACGAATTGATATTAATAGAGTAAGGGAAGATTATATTAACAAGACAGTCTATTGAATAACCAAGAATAATAAACAGAAATACCCTCCAAAAGCCGCAACTCCAGAAGTGTCAAAGAGTCCCTATCCCCCGGCCCGGAGATATCACTTGACTAGCTCCATGTGATAACTCCGCCGAATCTCTAAATAAGAACGCGAACGCTTGGAGATCGAAACCTCCGAATAATGAAACGCTAAAAGATTGGACGTATCTCTCAGAGATTCATCGGTCAGTTTTACAGAAAATATGGCTCTTTATCCCAGCAAACCCTCTGGAATTCCCTACTATCTATCATTCACGCTCCAGCCCCTCCGGCGCCTGGAACGCCCTAACACTTCCGATTTCTTGTTATTCGCAACGCTTTAACACCTATCACTCACATCAAATTCCCCGCGATCCGCTTATCTATGCCCATTAGTGCTTTTGGTCTTACCATTAACCTTGATAACCTCTTGAGTCTCTCCAGGTACAGGACCCAAACGTCCATATTGCCACTCTGGCAAAGTCATGCCAGTCTGCTCATGAATGGTGGACATGAGTGGTGGAAGCATCTGATACATGTTACGAATACTATCCATACCACCCACACCGATTCCCTGACCTTCAGCAGAGCTGCCTTCACCATTGCCACCAGCCTGGGCACCAGTATTCCAGATCGTCATCTTGGGGTTCAAACCACGAACAGCCTCAGCGTTGGCTTTGGCAAGGTCTTGGTAAGTACCACGTTCGATCATGAGGTATTGCATGAGTCCCTGTGGACCACCCATAGCCTTGCTCATATCTGCGTATGCGGCGGCCATGGCACTCATACCAGCTGCCTCTTTTTGCTTCCTCAAGAGTGCTACCTCGGCTGCTTTGGATTCGGCGATAAAGTTAGCTTCGGCTTCCAATTTGATTCTGTAAGCTTTGGCTTCGGCAGCTCTTTGTTCAGCGTTGGCCTTTGCTTCCGCTATCTTTTGCTGGCTATAATATTCAGCATTTGAACGGGCTTGCTCTTCGTAGTTCTTAGCATCAGCAGCTTGTTGCTTAGCTTCACGGGCAATCGTAGCTTTGACAACGTCACTGGCACGAAGACGTTCAAGCTCTGTGAAAGCACGTTTGACTTCGACGTCTTTGCGGAGTTCTTCGTCGCGAACTTCGGTGGCACGTGTGGCCTCTTTAAACGTTCAATGTGTCAGTTTATTGCATGTTAAACCAATTGAGTCTCTCTCGAAGATTCTTGATCTCCTTTTCCCTTTGCAAGATCTGTGATTCAATATTTTGAATTGCTACTTTAAAGACCATTCTTTCGACATTCTCAGGGAAAATTCGAGCGTCAGGATCTTCAAGCTTCGGAATTTCAACGGTATTGGAGATTTCTTACAGACATGTATTAGGAAAATGGTGGGATCCTCCAGAAAATAAGAATAAATATCACTTACCAATTTGAGCAACATTGACATCACGGCTGTAAACAGTTTTGCGGGTTGCAAGTGTAGCTTCAGCTCGAGCCTTCTCACTATCACGTTCTGTCTTTTGAACTGCGGTCTCGGCTTGAACTTTGGCGAGTTCTCGGTCTTGTTCTGCCCGACGCTGAGCCTCTCCAACAGTACCCAATCGTTGAGCTTCTGCTACATCTATACGGGCTTGATTAATGGCACCCTCGTGGGCTTTCTTGCTGAGAGAGGCAAAGTAGTTGGAGCCTGGAGCATCTTTGAGTTCTTTCACGTTGGCGTTGTAGATTCTAAGGCCGAATTGTCCCAACTCAGATTGAATGTTCTTGAAGATGTCCTTCTTGAATGCTTCTCTCTCTGTGAAAATTTTCTCCATTGACATGGAGCTGACGAGAACACGGGTTTCCCCTTCGATGATACCGACAACAATCTTTCTGAGATGTGCGCCAGCATCACCGTCATTGCTTTCGCCTTCAGCCAGCAGCATCGCAAACTTCAAAAGGGCGTCGTCGCCATCCTCTGCGGCGCTCTCATGGTTAGAGTCGGAAGTTCGGGCATTATCGCCTCTACGATTGACATCGGGACCAATGGTGAATACTACAGGAATCGCCAACTGAAGTTTCTCCTTTGTCATAGCTTGAAGTGACAACTCATAGTCGCGAGGTTGAATGTTGAATCTTCGGACCTGGAAAGCATTAGCAGTGCAGTATGAGAGAATGAAAATGAACACACCTTTTGAAAAGGCCAAACGAAAGCACTCTTGCATATTTTGACAGTCGCGATCTTTGCGCCAGTGATGGCGAGATACTATTAGAAGTTAGATACGTCGTCTTTAAGCGAATTAGGAACAAGTTCAAACCTCATTTGGGGAAGCAATTTGATACATGATGATTGATATGCGATTTGTCTTTGAACAATTGAAATACTATCGAGGGGGGTCTTGATAGACTTTATAGACTTTCGGAGAGGGGTAAAATGTGGTCTGTTATTCAATCAGCGGCTATACTAGTACATTGAATATACTGAATTGTGAGTCGATAAATGTGAATACTAACTCGAGTGTGGGGTTATTTAGTGATTTTGGAATACTCCTAAAAGTTCTCCAAGATTGCCGAAATCGCTGGTAGTGAACTCTCAATTATTGGTGAGCTCGTGATACGCTACCAAGGCGTCTAAGATAATGGTATGAATATTGGTATATGTGCTGACAAAATTGAAGAATTCTAATAGGTATCGGTAGATTTAGGAACGAGATGTCGTGGTTTCATTAGAAGAAAGAGAGGGGCTGATATATCAGTATCTAGATAGCTCCTTCTAAAATGGTCTGACTCTTATTTGCCCAAAACTAATTGTGATGGTGCGGTTCAGTTGACCAGTTAATCTCTCTCGGGAATAAATGAGGTTGTAACGGCGAAGGCACTAGTATTTAGACAAGAGAACAATATGGAAACGGCAATTGATAAGTGATGACAGAAGGAAGTAGCGAACAGGAAACGTTGAACAGAAGATCAAGAACGACTTTATATACATTGACACCTACTAGCCAAGCTGAGGGCGCCATCAATAAGCAAGACATGTTCAAGGCATATAGAACAACCTCACTGAGGTATTTTTGTGAAAGTTGTGGTGAATACTTCGTCAAAAGGCAGGGCGATAGTGGGAAAGGATGCATCGACAATTGAGGAGCAATTTGATGTCAAACCCTTTGGATTGACAAGGGAGCCTCGTCTAACCAATAGCGTTAAGGGCGCAATCCTGTCGACTCAAGATGATAATGTTACACTGCCGCCATTCCGACCGTGTAAAGTAAGAACTTGGCCGTTGAAGACCAATCGTAAACCTAAACATTGACTATTCCCTCACATATGGATTGGGACAAAATGAAATAATCAAGAATGCTGTGGCAGGGATTATCGAACAGGTCATTGAAGGGAGGTGCAGTGCTCAAAGAAGTCCAATCCCCGCAATGTCATAAAACTTTGATAGTTAGACCATGAAACCCCTAGATAGATAAGATTTTAAGCTCATCAGCTGTTTGACCGCAAACAGGAATAATGTCGCGAAATCGGCAATCGGCAAATTCAGATGCAATTCTGACACCTTGGCAAGGCTTGCTGGGAATCCCAGCCTGGGATGCCGAGCCCCTAAATTTGGTGATCTTCCCCGGGTCCACTGAGAACTTTCTAGCGAGCTTCTAGAAAGTCTCACCTGATCTAAACAGCCCCACACAGCCATCGTCATATCTCACCTATTGAAATGCACTAAAAGTGTCTATCCCTTGACCAAGGCCAACGAGGCAGACAACTTTAAATGGCTACCTTATTCCCGAATATTTCAAAGCCTTGCTGTGCATATTAGGCAGCGAAATTACACATGTTTCTTGATACGGGATGTGGCACAGCCGAGTGAGTTGTCCGAATACCCGACCCCACCAATCCGTGAGATCGCAATTCATTTGGGTCCGAATGAAGATTCCGGAATTTTGAGGAAATTTTAGGTCATTTCAAATATGATAACTCGCAGAAACCAAAGATCAGATCAAGAGAAGTCACATACATCATAGATTGTTGATAGACTTTCTTCCTAGTGAATCCGATCTCGTGACTATTGGACGACTAAGATCTACTAGCACTTAGTAACACTACTTTTGAGTCTACCAAGATTGCGAATTGGTGCAGAAGCAATAGAGAGTGCGATAATCGGATTTACATGATCGAACGTACGAGAAGGCTCGCTCACATATCCTCGGCAGAGAGAAAACCAATACGTTCCTTCCCAGAGCCAACCCTTGATCACTTCAGCCGCATTAAAAGACATCAAACTTTTGTACCTAGCTATCAGTATGAATTCTAAAATTCCAATAAACGATCGAGACAATGAAGCGGCTCCTCCATCATATATGGACTCCGTATCATCGTTGTCGGTATCTCCTGCCTTCCCATCTACGTCCACCTCCTACGGTACCCAAATCCAATCCCAGCTGAATCACCTCAGAACCCAATTCAGCTCTATCCAAACCCAAAAGTCTCTTCTCGAGCATGCACAGGAAGAGAGAATCCTTTCTCTCCTTACAACTCAAATTCAAATTTATCTATCCGAGTTTGCGAACACAGGATTGAGAAAAGGAACATTGATGTTGATTCCAGCACACTGTCTCCAAAACGAAAAGGCAGAACCACTTGATTTCGATAGAGATAATCCTGGATATGACGTGTTTGTGGAGATAGGAGATAAGGAGAGTCTTAATGGTGGATCATGGTTCTGGGAGAATGAAGATATGGCAAAACGACTAGCTGAGGCTTTGAAACCCGAAGAGGAGCTACCTTCCAGACCACTTCTTACGAAACAGGATTCCAAGAAGGTTGTAACCAGTCCAGGAGGAAATTTTGGCAGATTCTGGGGTAGGAAGTCGAGTTCGAGGAGCGAAGAAAAGCCTGTGTTAGTAGAGGATATGAAGGTTAGCTCGACTGTCGCGGAGCCGAGAGATAAAGTACACATGAAAGTGGGTGTGGAGGAAGTTGTTTTTGAATATGAAAACAGTTTTGGTCTTTTTGAAACACAACGAGGATATGGTATTATGCTTCATTTCAAAATCATCACTACCAAAGAGTAGAATCGGAGTTGATAACAGGAATGTTGAAAGATGTTCTCAAAGTACACCTGGATCTCCTCTGAACACATGATCTGGATACTGTGATATATCACATCGTACAGAAAATACCGTGGTTTTATGTATACTTGTAGTATAATTGCAATGTTTACCATTGTTAAAAATAAATTGCTCTTGTACATTTGGTGTGGAAAAGGTAACATTGATACAAACCTCGAAGTGCAGATATATGTGAATCCCTAACGTCATCAAGAAATTTCATGTTCTAAATTGGTTATATGATTGAGAATATTCTTTGGAATAGCATTTCAGCAAAGGTATCATCATAAAACGATGTATGATGATTGAATCCAACCTAACTTCTACATTTCTTTGTGTGTGATTGTCAAAAACTTAACAAACAATACCCCAATCCATGAAATGAAAATTGATACATTTGAGATGAAATGCGACTATCAGCTTGGTCAAGTGAAGGATCTGAAGCAAATATTCGGGGTGACTTAGATTCTTGTGTAAAATTTTAAGGAGTTTGGAGGTAAACGCCGAACGCGCTCTGACCGACCGAACGGGACAGGGCCGTTTGACGATGACGAGTTACACCCAGAGCTTTGGTACGAAGTCCAGCTTAATCGAGGGCTACGCTCCTTTTCTGCTCCCTGAGAAGAATTGGGCCCCTGATTATTAGTAATTATGTTTCGTTTCACAAACGGCTCAGAACCCACAACCAAGTCAGAAGAACTATACTCAGGATTAATTTTGTTGCTTGAGTAGCTATTGTCAGTATAGCTAGTCGAGGTATTATTATCTTGATCATCACTGCCGCCATCCATCTCTTTAATTCTTTCGAATCTTGAGTTTAAGTTAGATAGCACATCATTCCTCAGTTCTTCTTCATGGAAAAGGCCAGAAGACACCGTACCGTAGTGATCGAAATTGTATGTAACCCAAGTTTGAAGATTGACATTTCAACGGTGAGAGACAGCCTGAAGGTCAGACATTGCAATTTTATACCTGGAAAGGACCAATGAATTTGTTGACGCATGGCGACGAACTTGATGATGAAAGTACGATGGTCCCACTGATTTAAAATTGCAAACTCCCAACGCTCCACGCCTCTGCAACAGAGACGTCATTCACCCATAATGCATAGCCTTCGAAAGCTGTAGTGGCGTACCCTGAGCATAATCGAGGATATTTATGTAAGCACCAAGATCAAGCAGAACGGACACTGCCTCCGGTTGCCTATTGAGTATTGCTTCGTGTAGCACCGGAATACCTTGCCCTATGGCATTGACGTCTGCTCTATGAGATGCGAGGAGCTTCATGAGATGAGGTTTCCCGTTCACACTTGCTTCTTTGAGTAGAACTCCATAATTCTCTCCTTGGAGATTAATGTCAGCGTTATGGCTAAGTAAGACCTGCAGGACTTGCTGATTATTTTTGATGATCGCAAGGTGGGCAGGATATGCCACTACGAGACTGTTGTGCACTTTTTAATCTCGAGGTCCATCAAAGTTTGCACCGTAATCAAGAAAAATCTCTACAATGATCGCCGCCGTATCGTCACAGCACTAAATTGCTTCCATCAACGGCGATGAAGAAATCGGTCTCCCGTCAGAGGGTTGGCCATCAACATTGGCCACATGTTGGACCAGCCATCGAACTCGATCGACATTCCCAGAAGATGCTACATAGGAAAGAAAGGTTTTGCCTTCAAGTTCCATATCAATATTAAGGTCATAAGTAATGAAGTTCTCAAGTTGTTGAGTCGATATAGTACCAAGTAGATCGTCCCTGACTTTAATTTCCATCTTGGAAATGCCTTCATGGCTAGTTGCAATCAAGATATCCGAGTAATAACAACCTCTAGCATAAGGGGACATGATTCTTGTTCCGTGGTTGATGTTTGTACTGTGTCTTAAAAGGCACTTCACTATATTAAAGTCGCATTTTAGGGCGGTAGTTTCTAGAGGCTAAATGTTTCTATTTCCGTTGATATAAAGCGTTGCGAAATGGGGGTCTTCTCTAAGAAAAATTCTACGCATTCAACGTTGCCAGAATTTATTACCTCATAGAATTTATATCCTTTAGATTCTTCATACAAGGATGCACCACATTCCCTCACAAGCTTTAAGAGTCTTACCTGAGCCAAGTGACCCTTGTAGAGCTTGAAATTTCCAAGAATATAGTGAGGAATCGAAATACCAGGGATGGTAGGATGATTGCATGTCCAGCATTTATTGATGTCGTGTATTGCGGGGTTGTTTATGATTGATGTGAAAAGTTCAATGGCATGATTCCAACCCAACACAGCTAGAAATAGTGGCCTTTGCATCGTTTTATCAGTACTTGATTTGGTGGGATATGACAGGAGTAGCTTGACATCCTCTGTAAAACGCGTGAAAAATTCGTAGAATTGTCCTGCAATAACCACTTCCAGAAGCCAGGCCCGCATGCTTGGTTCAAAGGCTCCATCGCGCGCCAAAACCAACCTAAAAAGATCCAGCGGCGGCGTTCTCGAGATCTAATTTTGCGCGGCAGTGATCAGGGCTGTATTAACCCCAGCTTTGTTGTCGAGAAGAAAACTTATTATATCCTCCCGGTTATTCTCGAGAGCAATTTCTAAAGTGCTTTTGATTTGCTCATCAGAGTCGATATCATTAATATTGGCGACGGCAATTATTAAAAGCTCCTTCTGTATGATTAAACAATTATCAGCCCATGTACTTACCTATTCCATCCGAAAATAAGAGCCTTAAGTCTATGAAAGAAAAAGTGGGACTAAAAGAAGACAAATCCTCAGCGTACTATTCCATATTCTCCGTTCCTGGTTGCAAAAGACAATGTGATTTCTTTTCTCCAAAATTGATTTACTTCAGACTGTGATAGTGAAGTGGCCAAAAGAGCTTTAGAAATGTCAAGAAGGCCAAGACCTGATGCGATCATGAGCGGCGATATGGTATTCACTTCTTCGGAATCATCTACTTTCAGCACATTCCGAATCGTATAAGAGATACCCCGGAGGTGTTTTGAAGGGTGCTTCCCTCCTAAAGAAGCTCGAAACCATATGAATTGCCGAACTGTTGGTGAGCATAAATCAATGATGGTTCGCACATCAATACGAGAGGAAGATATCTCCTAATGTTCCATCCAATAGTCTGATGCATATTTCAGAAACTTGAATTGGTCTTCATTCGAGATGTGTTTTTGGCCTCTAGGCGATATTATAAAGCGCCGAGCTTCGGTATTAATCTCGGAGAAAGTGTTGAAATAGATGTATGAGACACAAATCTGAGTCAATACAGACTGAGAATCGTATGGGTGCAAGCTGTGTTTCAAGCCTGTTGCTGCAAGATTTGAGTCCTTCGCTATCAGGAACTCTTTCGCGGTCTGGTGAATAAGTCATACTCTAGAATCGGAAATGGAAACAAAAAGACCACAAATATCCCGAATTCTTTTGGGGAATAGTTCGGGATCCTCAAGCTCGATATCTTCAAAAGATGGAGATCCGTCATAAGATTCATCTACATTGAAGGTAATGTTAACCCCATCCAGTGCTAAAGGTCTCTCTGCACAGATCACAATGTGAAGTAACTTAGTGGCCTCTTTCTTATCAGGACTCTTATTCAGAATCACCTCATAGCTGTTCCAATAAATGATCAGTACAGGAAACGATATGATATATTTGAAATGAAGGAGACAGCATGGCACCATGTGTGGATCAATGGAAAATCCGAAAGTAGTAAATGTTTACGTCACGTCAATCGTAGAAGGCAATTCCGCGTCTAGTATTCTTTCAAATGTCTTTGATTGTCTACTAGCTTTGGCTCGAAGGCATTTCGTATCCATGATAAGATGTAGCCAGAGATACGTTCGATGTTCTATGTCCTTCAATCGAGAGCGAAGCCGAGTATCCGCTTTCAAGGAGAGTCTGAGCTTACCTACTTCAGCATCAATGACGAGATTGATTTCCTCCTTCATTGTTGCCTTAGTATCCTCACCTGCCAAGCGGATTACTGAAAATATATCCGTGAGACTTTTGAATTCATCTTCAATCTCATAGTAAGGCCTACTTGTGATAAGGAATTTTACCTTCAAGTTGGGTGAGCCAGTAGAAATTGTCGAAGTTCTTGAATCAGCAGTTACGTGTGATTTAAGTGAGACATCGGAGAGACTGGAGCTCGAAGAATGAGTGACAACATCAGGGACAGTAGCCCTATACATTGCTTGTAATTGTTTAAGAAAGAATTTTCGTTCGGAAGCGTCGACCTCGTCTAGAGCATCCAGTACACATATTATATTTCTGCCGTTTGGGCCCATAGCTATATTTTCCATGATATCCCACATTTCATGGGCTAAATTGGCGATTTCGGTATTGTTCTTTGCACAACTAGACTCCGTGTATACTAGAAGTTGTTTTTGAGACGAAAATATTTGATGTAGCAAGGCAGCAAGGGCTTTCGTAAGACTCCGCTGCTCTTTCGAGATATCCTTGAAAAAGATGTAGCAGACGTCCGTATTTTGGTCTGATACGACAAGATTTTCATCAATGAGCGCTTTTGAAAGAACACTCCTGCCATAGCCTGGATCTGCCGAGATCCAGAGAACACCAGGCCCATTTCCTTCTTTCTAATCTATGAATGTGGGGTGCTCGAGCACCTATTTGCAAGTTCCTGGGATGCGAGAGGGATTTTGATTTTTTTTGTAGTTCATACAGATTCCCATTTCAAAAGGACTGAAGGCACTCCTGGTAATCTCTGGCCTTCTGCGAGGATTTTGATTCATTCAACGCTTCAGCTAGCATGGTCTGTTGCTTTTCAACCATTTTCCAGTTTAAATCACGATCAATAGCATAGATCAAATCTCCGCATTGGTAATCGAGCTCGTTCATTTTCTTAAACATAGTTGTCCAGTCATTAAGTTTCAAGGCATCTCGAAAATACCCGGTGACGGAGTTTCCGCAAAATTGAGCAATCACTCGAGCTTCGTAAAGTAAGATTTTGGTGTATAGTTGAATTATGGCTTTCTTTAGCTGCAGCTTTACAGCACTGCTCCGATGTTCATCGGTACTGGTTGGGTCCTAGATAGAGTCTTCAAGGAGAGCATATCGATCTATGAGTCGTGGGATCTTTTCTAGCCCTTCACGACAGCCCGCTTTCTCTGTGATAGGATTGATTAAAGCAAATATATTGTCAACCTATGTTGATCTTGACTTATTAATCACTTTGCACTCTGAAAAAAAGGCCCATTTCCTTATACATAACACTGTAGCATACTAAAATTGAGCTATTATCGAACACAGCCAGGTGTAAACAGCCGCAGATGACAGGACTAAGGAATGACTTCCAATCTTTGCAAGGATAGACGCTCTATAGACATGACGACATATTTTCATGCATAAATAAATAAATATACCCACTTACAGGGAGAAACATGGAGACGCCAGCCCAAGCTATAGCAGCATGTGGCTCACTTTCAAGAGTAAACCCAATAAAAGTTTTGGCTGCTATCACAACTTTGACAACTTTTTCAATCTTATCCCCAGATCGACTTGAGGGAATTGTAAATTCGTCCAGCTTTGCCTCCATCAATTTTATTAACGTGTCGTTGGATATTGGCGCATCTTGTGTAGAGCTACTCCCAGGCGTTGTATTTGCTTCACGGACAAGAATTCAAGAGTAATGGTCCATCTAGAAAAGGGCCAAGTTAGCAGAGATCGAACTCTAATTGAGAATTTGATTCATCCCCATGGGAGCGATGAAATTCTCCTGAAGGAATGAAAATACTCACCAATTCCGGCTCCTGGAGTTTTAAAGTGTCGCATGCTTGGAGCCAAAGATCCTCCGACTCGTCCAATTGCTTGGTCCCATGGGGTTTGGTTCGGACAATTGGGGTGTTAGTTGCGGATGCCGGATCGCGTGAAGATTGAACTCCCGCAGTGATATTAGCGGCATTAATAGTGGCTCCCAGTAGACTTGTGGAAGTGGAAGTCGACAGAGAAGCAAATGCAATGGTGGATTCTACGAGCTGTTTGACACCACCTGGTGATTGACGAGAATGCTCTTGGTGGGCTCCCTACGTAGAGAGTCCTTTACTCGTTGAAATTTGTCCCTTAACCCCATGATATTTTGCAGGACCCCATAGATGTGCCTACCGAAAGTGCCCCAAGTTTGTCAAAACGGCGGCAATGATGGTAAATATGTTTATCAAGATCATGAACAGAAACCATTGCGATGTTGTGGTGGGGCTTATCAGCAAGGCTCATTTGGCCCCCAACTATGCAGGATATACCCATCATGGTTAGATAAAGACCACTGTCAGACAAGAGAGCGAAGCCCTCTCAAAACCAGTAACTTTGATGTGGCTGGTTGCCGTCGACAAACATCATTGTCGCGATCTTGTTTTGATATTTTTGAGGTTATGAACAATCGGTTCAATTCCGCAGAGTGAAATGCACAGACCTTCTCTTCAATTTTGTAAGATTACGAGCTTAATGCCAAACTTTAATTTTGGACACATGCAATTGCTTCCAAATTTATAGGCCAATGCAAAGAGGGAGAAAGTTCCCGTGCTCATGATACATACTGGCTGGTCCTCGGTATATACAAGGAGATATAAATTAAGTCCCGCAGTATTATACTTTGATAGCATGGATCGGGTACGTAAGTTGCTGCAACGGCAGCGTCAACGGCCGCGTGTGTGCTTCTCCACAATCGGGACCTGGTTGTCATAAGGTTTGCAAGCTTGTGGCTTGGAATGTTTAGCTCTTTCGTATAACCTCATGATGCGACCCTTTATTCTTGATCTGTGTATTGTCTTTCTATCGTTGAACAAGCCGTGTCACCATGTGGTACTCCTTGCCAGAAAAGCGGCGTTTTGTTGTCATTTTTTCATCCATCACAATCATTGTACTTTTCGGCCTTGGGTCCGAGTACCGGTACTCATATCTTGATCGTCAGACACTTTTCCCTGCATTCGGAAAGTCAACTCTGCCATGGATTGCTACTTCCAGTACTTTTTGGGCTGCGTTCGCTCCACTATTGGCAGCTGCTGCACCGCGATGCTCACCCCCAGAGCTTAGTGGTAAAGCATATTCCATGAACATTGGCAAAAGAAGAGCTGCGGATCATATTATCTTGGATGAAAAGAACATCGAAATCATGCGACGATCCCACACTTGGTTCGTTGATCAACTTATGCAGAATGCCCCGAAGTTGGAATTTAAGAAGGGAACCCAGGGTATTGTGACATCTGCAGGAGGTGACTATTTCCCTCCACTTCTCGTCAGTCTTCAATTCCTTCGCCGCACCGGATCTAAACTACCCGTCGAAGTCTTCCTCGCCTCGCCGGATGAATACGAACCATTGATATGCGAGACAATTCTTCCTTCATTAAATGCGAAATGTCTCATTCTCTCCGATATTATCGATCAACACGAGCTGCCATTCTCTTTCTCGGGATATCAACTAAAAGCTTTTGCAATAATATTCTCATCTTTTGAATCAGTTCTTTTTCTCGATGCAGATAACTTTCCTGTCTATTCTCCCGACGATCTCTTCACCTCCACACCTTTCACTTCAGAACATCTTGTTCTGTGGCCAGATTACTGGAGCCCGACTCCCTCGCCAACTCTAAGTAAGATAATTGGCCTTGAAGGATCCATTCTAAACAATCGCCCTACAATCGAAGCCGGACAAATTTTAGTCAACAAGGCACATCGAACCGAGGCATTGTTACTCGCAGCATACTATAATGCCTACGGTGATTATTATTACCACCTTATGACTCAAGGAGGTGCAGGAGAAGGTGATAAAGAAACGTTTTCAACGGCTGCCCTCGTTCTTGGAAATAGTTTCTACACCGTATCTCAGTTACCTCGTCCCCTTGGTTCACGCGGGAATGGTGCAGCCGTTCTGCAAGCTGACCCTATGGAAGATGTGAGCTCAAGAGGAGAGGAAATCCCGAGACCATTTTTCATCCATGCAAGCTGGCCACCGAAGCTTAATCCGCTACACAATCATCAAGGTTCGAGGCAATGGGGCAGTGAGGAACACTCATTAAGCACATTCAATGGTTTAGATGTCGAACGCACAGCGTGGGAATATATGGTACAAATGGCATGCGATGAAAATATTGTCTTCAAGAGCTGGGCGAATCAAACGGAGAAAGGAGTTTGTGAGCAGACCAGGGGAAGCTTCAAAAATATGTTCGGAGAGGAATATGACATATTAGGCAGCTGAGTGAACATTGAGGGATCTAGGTCCGCTATATGTATGATTTGACCATGGTGACAATCCAAGCGATTTCCCAGGCAATATGGGCGGTGATATAAAACTTCAACTAATGATTGAAAGTTCAGTTGTGTAAAAAGCCTTTACACTTCGGATGAGCAAGTTCTGTCGTATAATCAAGGTAATATCTGTTGGCCAGCTATGCGCTCTCATCATGAAGAGCCTACTTGAAAGCTTTATCTAATCACTTCGCTTGTGGGAAGGTACCCGAAAAGGAGACACGCAGCAAAATCCTTTCGTGGGATGCTGAATAATCTTTATGGAGAAAAAAGTTTCCGACACCTTCTGCTCGACTCTGCTGCTTGCAGGCCGTCCAAAAGCCCTTGAAGCTCAGAATATCTAGTGTTGAAATCACTGGCTTTGCAAGTCAAGGAATTCAGGAACAAAGGGTTTGCGCCAAGATCCGGGCTTATAACCGAGCCCAAGAATGTGATAGATCGAAGAAGTGGCCAGCATGGGTACTTGTGAGGATAGGACTTCCCAATTCCATTTGAACTCCGAATGATTTATCAATATTTAATTTAGTCTTAGAGTCCGAACTTAATCGGTTTTCATCATCTGAAAGAGTGATACGCTGTGCATCTCAGCTGTCATTGGCCCACACCTCGTAGTCTGGAATATCTGCTCAAGTCTCATCCAAGTTCATTCACCAAGTTATTTATACTTGTCATTCTGCAAGAAAATATTCTGCACATCTTAAAAAGAGACCTGGAGGCCTAGCAGTTTCTTAGTGAAGCCATCGGCGTGATGCTACGTACACTGAGCTTCTACCCTACTTTGTGAAAGAAATGATTAGGACGCAGCCCTGTTGAGATTTTAACCAGAATTCTTAGTCAACAATGACTGGCATTCTGCCTTGATTTTATTCTCTTGTCTTTCCTTCTCTGTCAACAACTTCTTAAATTTTGTCTTTACATTGTTCTCCCATTCATGATTCTCCTTGCGATCATGGATAAACTTGGCTATCAAGGCTACGATGGTGATGAATGAAACAATAATAGTAAGTCCTATGATCGTCCACGCCATTATAATGATGAACTTTTTCCAAAATTGCTCGCTAGCACTTGGTATATGCTCCAAATATTTTGTGCAGTGCCAGCTGTCAGAAGGGGGTGGCATGGTGCTATTTTGTGGGCTGCTAGAAAGCGGGATTCGTGCTACACAATGCCAGATCATATTGCTGGGTGGCATAATGAAGGTTTGTGAATGAAAGGAAATGTTTTCTCTTTTTGCTGTTAGATTCTGTAGTTACGTACGAAGTGTTGAGGAAAAAGAAGAGATTTGTTGTTTTGAAGTGGTAGAGTTTGTAAACAGACGTCGTAGTTAGTTTTCGTTATAGATTGTACCTAGACGTGATGATGTTGTTGAAATTTAAAATGTGTTAATTTAGGACTTTTGATGATTCAAGTTTTGATATTTTGAATTTTACAGCCATCATAAAGATTTATTTGCTACACCTAATTAGTGCGCTCTGTCATACGGCAGAGAGCTTCTCTCTCATGAACAATAAGTGAGTTGTTTCTATTGAGGAACTTCAATTCACTCTGATGAGAGGAGCAATCTCCAGGAGCCTGCTTGGTTTGAAGTACCCGTTGTCTAATAATACAGCTAGCAAAAACTCGCAGTGTCTAGCTTTTGTTTCGTTAGATTCTGGAATTGAATTATACAAGTAAAAAAGTCATTAATTCGCTTAGCTCCAATGTAAGGAACTGTTCTTATCTAATTCCCTTCAAGAACACAAAGCCGAAGGTTAAACCATCATGAACAGTCTCTCAGTTATGATTCATATTGTTTGATAACTCATAAATACTAGCCGCTAGTTCCTCGCCCAAAATAAAAAGCAACGCTCATTCATCATCAGCAGCCTTGAACAACTCTGTTCCCACATCAATTTTACTATCGAGGCTGTCTCCCACGGACTCTTGTGTGATAAGTCTGTTTAAATCTCTACTCCTTTGTACAAATGTGAGCTATATATTCATATCAGCAACTTTCAGAAGCTCCATTCAAAGTGATACTCACCAATTCAGATTCTTTTGTCAGCAGCAGCTTTTGCTTTGGTGTCTTTCTTCTGTTGTCCATGGTATTGGAAAGAAAATTCAACCGTGCGGTGATAAAAAGCCATGAGACCAGCGGTAGAGAGAACAGGAACTGCAATATACAGATGGTCCTTATTGTATTGATAGAATTTTTGTGTGTGATACGCTCTCTTAGCGTGTCCCATACCGGTGCCGGCGGCGTGACGCTGTCTAGTGATGTGTCGGAGGAAAGTCATCTTCGACTATTTTGAAGGATTTTAACTCAGTAAGAATAATAGGTGTCAAATGAGGAGAGTTTTTTGTGACATGGGCTTTGAGGGTAAATGCCTTCCAAATGTGATTTCTTGCAGTAAATGATATGTGGTGCGCGGAGCAAGCTAGTCTTGGAATTGTTGTTGAGGAATATAGATGTGCAACAGGATAATGATAAAATATTTATAGTTTAGTTACATAGTTCTTCAAAGCTTCGATCTAGACTGAAATCAAGAAAATACTACCAGCTTCAGTTGAGTGTTTTTCATTCTGTTTGAGGAACAGCCGTTTAAGTGATTTTCATTTCACTCACAATCACTTTCTAAAGAATGAAATCATTTATTTCGCCGTATTCATTGCGGTGGGAGTAATATGTTTATGTTATATAATATTATTCAGGTATAGAATTGAATAATCCACCAGCAGCGACCTTTTCCAGGCCTAGAATAGTTTCCTATTCAGAGACAACTAACAACACCAAAACGTCACCCCACGTCCGTACCATAGCTTTCGCATACAAGCTGTTCAAATACATTAGCATGTTCCAGAAATTTCCTTTACAAAAGAACGAACCTTATCCAGAATCTTCCATCAACAACGGCTTGCATTCTCCTTCGGTACCTTTTTCTTGACGCTTTTCATTGAATTCCTTTTGTGGTTCGTCTCGCTTTGCCTTCTTAAGCAAAACTCTTCCAATGAAAAGGACTAGTATGACGAAGCCATTGAAGATGGCAACTGTCATCGAAATGACTAACAAACCAAGTTCGATGCCAACTAAAGCCCAGATTAAATAAAGCGAGATCTTATAAGCTCTACTGGTGGCTTCCCAGTCGCCCTCTTTCCACTCAGGTCCGAGGAGATACCTAGGAGGCATGGTTCCAAAGCTTTCAAGATTTTCGATCCTTGAGCTAGAAGGTCTGTTGTTGTGTATTAAATTTTGAGGTTGAAAATGCTAGTGTTCGTGATCTGAGATCGTCTCAGGAACTTTGTATCTGAGAATCGGCCACTCTTCGGGAAAACTTGTGTTTTGTGTTGAGTTTAAGTTCGTAGTATTGCCTCCGATATTGTAATTCAAGAACTGTTGAAGGTGAAAAGCAGGTGTTCTTTTATCATACTTTGAGTGTGAGCTACCTATATAAGATATGGGGAGCCGTACGAGCATACTAGTGCATACGCTAGCTGGGAGCATAGTAGGTAAATACGGCATTTTCAATAAGAGAAACCAACACTACCTATCTGGGTAGCCGAAGCCTATGGCCCCGCCTATCCAGGCCAATTTAACTATCGATTGGAGTGAAGGTAGCATTTTCGTATCATGTTTACAAAACGGCCAGGGGCAACCTTTTCTCATCCCGGAGTGCAATCTTCGTCGTTCGTTCTCAATACCACTCTTCTCGAAACAATCTCTCATACCTATAATAGGATAATGAACAAACTGAAAGCCATTCTAGTCTAACTATCTATAGCTCAATTAGTCATCTAATCACTCCTGTGTAGAAAGCGTATTCATACTTATTCAGATTTTCAAGCTTATATCAGCATCCATTCTCTCTTTTTTGTCTCTTGGGTAGAAATGGTATGTGTTTTCCCTCGGCGCATTCGATTCATTCGTCCTGATTCCATGCTGGCTCAACAAGCTTCGTGCTCCTTGAGGGCTTTCTCCTGTGAAAGTATTTCGTTATTGCGTAAAATGCTTCCACAAGAATTTAAAACACAAAAACAGTCATAAAGCGTCGAAATAATCCATTAACAATTATAATGCCCTGAAATACTGAAATCGGCAAAGCTGGTAACATCATTGGGGTAGAGCGATATAAACAGGTGTTGAGGGCCCAGCGCATGAATATGGGGTGACATAGATCTGAGATTTACCACACAGTTACTACCTTGATATTTTATGGAGATATTACTTGGTGGCTGTCATGAATAATATTATAATAGAAAGCATAGGATCACTTTTGGAAAATTCCAGATTACTGAAATAAACTAACAATAATGCGAATGAGTCAATTAAAATAACCAAGTGAGGTTCATATTCAGTTGAGTTGCGTCATATTGAATGCTACATCACTCCATGGTTTCTACTAGCATATTTGAACTCTTTCAATCTAACTTGAAATGGCAAAATAGCTCTGATTATCTTAATCATTGACTAAATGACATGATGACCTAGGACTCCAGATGATTCAGGATCTATAATGACGTAATGAACCCCTGCTACACCTTCGCTCCACCGTCCCTTATTCCAACGCTATCGATCACCGAAATTGTTGTACTTCTGTGTTATTTCATCCCAGAAATAGAGATTTTCCCGGCGATTGAGTTAAAATTGAATTGCATTACGGCTTAATAACTCAATAGTCAGGGAAGAAGGCACGGCTTCTTCTCTTCAGATCATTATTCGAAATCAGCTTAACTCTCTCCTCGACAATAACAGTTCTCCACAATTCTTTCTGTCGCTTCCGGTCTAACAAGCTTTGTCCTTCAATCTTGACTCCTGCCTGTCTTCTATCTCTCATCTCTGTCTGAATCAATAACACCATTCGTGTTATTCTGGCATTCTCCTCTTGTAGTTTTCGTTCGGATCTTCGCTTTGCAGCAAATAGAGCCATACTGACTAGTTTGAGGACAGCTAGGCAAATTGCCAAATGAAAGAAGTTCTCCAGTTTTTCTGCCCAACTATTCGTGGTGTATATTATCTCAGCTCCGCTGCTGAATCTGATTCTGGTAACGTTAGGGAAGATTGACGGGATCGTGAACATCTTGTTGTTGTAATGTATTGAGAATTTGATTTATTCCTGTGTGGAAAATGTCGGGTTCTGGTGAGGGTCGGAATGATCGGGAGGATTGAAAGTCTGGAGTTGTTGTGAGAATTTCAAATATTAAATCAAATCTGCGGACTATTCGAAACCAAGAAATGGTCTACTAACGGTCTTTCCAATACATTCGCGCATCAGCTAGTGTGGCTTCCTCAACCGTAATATAAGCAGTAGCAATCTCCGCGCCTGTGCTTCTATGGTATGTATATATTGTATATGGACCCGTGTGACGGCACGTGCTGGAGTCCTTCGGATTTTTGAGGACGTGTTCTCTTCATCTACTCAGTTCCCGAAATGCTGACATTCGTGTGTTATTAAGCGCAAATTTTGCAAGTCCTAGGTAGTATCTAATCTCAAAATCTTTCAAGTAAGCCTAGAATGTTCTACTTCGGCCTAAATTGACTCAAGAATCGGCTTGAAATGCATCTTACGGGAGTTTACAATCTTAATCTTATACGCATAAATCACAGTAGCAAGATATCAATACACGCTTCACACACACCCAGGATAACCAATTGAATAAGTTCTTCAATTTTCATTTACTTAAGAATAATGATAGAGCTTAAGCTTCGTGTTATGCAGAATTCAATAACCTTATAAGCCACCGAGAACCGTTTCCCATCCCTAGAAGCGCTGTTGCCCCTTTACTAATCTCAGGTGTAGTATTGAAAGTGCCTAAATGAATGCTTACCAGTATTCTCAGTCGCACTGGCTCTGCATCTTCCCTCGATGCCGTCAATCAGACTAAATGGTAATTGTACCGTAGTTTGTCTGTCGCATCTCTTCAGGAAACTCCGGACCTTTTTCTGTGATGCCTTTCTCCTGCTCGCCTTGCAGTTTATCATTCGATACATTCTCGCCTTGTCTCTCGTGAGCCTCCTCAGGTGCGTCTTGCGAATTTGGTGGATTCAACAGCGGCGGGCATTCTCTCTTGGCGGCCTCCTTTTTCTTCTTTCGATTCTCCTGACACATTTCAATTGCAAGGACAGTCCAGTCTATCGAGTACATAAAGATGACAATGAGTCCCACAATAGTAAAGTAGATGAGAGAAGATTTCAGTAAAATGTCCCAGTCAATGTTACAATTAAGATATTCTCCCTTCCCTGACAGATTTCCGGCACAAATTATCGGAATAACGGCAGGCATTATTATGCTGATGCGCTGCTCAGATATGATTCAAGTATTTTTATTGTAATAAGAAGTTGATATTTGATAGATGGAAGTCGGAGCCGGAGATCGAGATCGATAAATTGAAAGTTCTGAATTTGATGTTAAAGATTCTAAAGGCCAAGTCGGTCCTGTAGATGATTTAAATAATAAAATAACCGAACGATACAGCTACAAATCCGCTAGCGTTAAACCTTCAAGTCGCTCACAACTATTACCGAGGCTTCTAATGCCGATACTAGCATTGTTCAGATTTCATATATTTGGGATTGGAGTAATGTTTAAGATATTTCGTATACGCCGCACTCTAGTGACACGTGTGTGGTTTATATTGTATACCTATCTAAATAAATATTATTGAACTCTATATCAGTTGAGCTTAGAGACGGGAATTCAAGAGATCACTTCCCAGGTATGCAATATCGAAGACAATCTCTCCAGAATTGATTGATTTTTGCGGAAGCTTAAGGAAAGTTGAAAGGAATGAGCGTGAACTCATTAAAATCTCCTGTTTGTATATTAACCTAGTATCACATTTGATGATGCTTGTTATAATGGGAACAAACTTCAACACCAGTTGCTGTAATACTGCTTTTATCACTTTCATGGGTGAAATATTGATTTATACTAAATTTCTTGAAGACATTTACATGAGCACTGTTGCTTCACAAAACGCGGGTCTTCCTATTCGAGCAAATTTGGTTTAAATATATCAAATTCATACCATTCAGAAAAAAATTGTGGGAGTAGACAATGTGAAAATATCTACAGGAACGTTCATCGATGCTTGCTCATTGCTTACTGACATTTATAAATCACATGAGTTCTCACGCCTCATTCACTTGATCAATATGGTTGTTAGAAGGTAAATCTTATATATTTCGAACCCAAAAGTCGCTGCTTAAACTGCCTATCCTACAAAAGCTCACCCTAACTCATCATACTCCCCGAGGTGTATCTCGCTTATTGCGTCTCGGATTTGGAAAAAAAAAAAAAAAAAAAAAAAAAACCAGCCATCAAGCTGGCAACCTGCGCATGTGCGCTCAATCCATCAGATCAGGCCTTTCACTTCTTCTGCCCTTTCCCCTTCGTGATCCTTCCGAATTTCCCCTTGCTGACATTCTTTCGTTGTATCGCAGACCAAGGGGTGGAGTATCCCTCGTAGTCAAAATCGTCTTTTGATTGTGTCTTCTTTGTTCTCTCCTCCTCGGGCTCGTTCATAAAAGTCTCGTATTCGTCAAGCACGATTTGCTTTTCTCTGCCTTTGATGATTTTTTTCTGTCCCGTTGGGGTAGAAGCCGGCTCGATAAAGTCGTCAAATGAGACAGGTTGGATGCTATTCCTCTTGCCTTTGCCCTTGGTCGTGGCACTTCTCTTCTGTGCTGTCGGAGTCGACACAGGTGTGGGAAGCCCATTCTTGGCAATTAACTCTCTAACTCTGGAACTTCTTCTCAGAGTTGTTGGTGTCATTGGAGATTCTTCGTTTTGAAACTGCTTTTTACCTCTTCCCCGAGGCTTTCTTCTGGGTACAGCTTTCGTCATCAAAGGCAGTGGGCTTGTATCTGCTGTCTCTTGACCACTCTCAATTGTGATATATTCCTGCGATATAGAAGGTTTGGAATCTTCAGAGCTTGATTCAAGACCCAGTGCGTTCCATAATGGAGTGATGTTGTCCAAGATTCCAAAAACAATTAGGGCGCCCAACGCAATTAATATGGTTTGGAAAGTGCTGGAGTTGTTGTCTCCAGTTGCTTGTCTTGCCTTTCTGGCAAGTGCAGTTGCGTTGCACCACGAGTAAGAAGTCATGGTTTAAAAGGTGATAGTTTCTTATTTCTTTGGTTTGGTGGTGAGCAAATGGATATTGATTGAAAACTCTTGTCGATGAAGAAGAGTAAAAGAATAGGAACTTTAAAGTTGTGTTCTGAATTTCGGAGATTTTGAGTTATTGAAGTATCTGTAGATAGACTTTCTAATGTGTTATAGAAGGATCCAGATTGACTGGGAGCTTTCAGATACTTATATGGGATTTAGTCAAAGTGTGCAACTCTTCAATACGGTCAATAAAACCGTAGCTGAGCCAGCGTATCATGTTTGCAAACACATCGAGTTGAATACGGTTCTGGATTAGATACAGTACGATATGATTCACTGTATTTGATCATCATTCTTGCGAAATACATCTGAAAAGGGGGTGGGGGTACGTTAGTGCTCGCTAAAATACTCAACGTTTACTACCTCAATCGCGATATATTTATAACACGTTCTCAGTAAATGCTTCCTCCTGTTATTGCCAAAGTTTGCTTCACTTAGGTAGATTTCGAAGGTACTATCAGTTTTCTAACTTTGTCAAATTTGCATAAAGATGAAACCTACTACATGCTTCTCTAAAGAATTCCTTTCCTAAGAACTCTGTGACGAATGAATGTCAATGGAACGATGGCCTCGCTTGGTGATTATGTCATCCAGTACCGAAACTACAAAAGGTGCATTGTCATTTAAACTTTCAACTAGAGTGACAATCTGCACATTTCTAATCTCATTATCAGAATATTCCATAACTTCGAGATTTACCCTGAAAACTTTCCGACCATGTGGTCAAAAATTCAGCCAATCCGAAGTAATAAACAAGTTATGCAATTCCTGTTTTGAGTTCACCAGGTTCGCTCGCTTCAGCTTATGATTGGTCCTCTAAAAAGCCATCGTGAACTTCCCGCGCTGACATCACTTTTGAAAAGATAAATATTAATGAAGTATATTAGCACCATTTTCCTTGAAATGAATAAACATGAAATTTGCAGATGAAATCGGTGTATATATAGTCATCAGAATAATTCTTCAAGCACCTCGCGTTTCGTGTACAAAAATCGCTAAAGCTACATCGAATAATACCCAGTATCTAACTTCACCACACAAGCCCCATCAATAATTCGAGTCAAGCTCACCCCACTTTTCAAAATGGGTATTCCCTACAGTAAACAGATCCACTCCGCCTTCGACCAGTCGCAAATAATGATGCGACGACTTCAGACCGAAGTCACACCTCTTGTCGCAGCCGGATATCCACTGGTAGCGTCCGGCTTTGAAGTCCTCAAGACGACAAAAAATATTGCCATACTATTAGCAGTAGTACAAGTTTATACGGCTCTTATGCTGACGGTTATTTTTGGGGTCGGCTGTATGTTATTGGTAACGCTGAATCCGGATTTGGAAGATGAGAGAAGCAGGTTGATTAGTCCTGTTGTGAGAGGAGGAGTAGAATGGATTGAAAGGTGGGGAGGTTGGATGAATTGGGGTGTCAGATTTGGAATCGTGTGTGGAGTGGCGGGAATGGGAGTGGGTATTTGGAAAGGGGAGAGAGCAGGAGAAATGGAAAGAGGGATGGTTGTTGAGGGAGAAAATGAGGAGGCGGGAAGTGAAGACAAAGAGGAGGAAGATGGAAGTGATGAAAAGAATAGAGTGGATGATATGGATGATGTTGGGAAGTAGGAAGCCCATCCATACTATTTTAACGAGTGTCATGAATTTATGAAACCTCTTCGTAATTTTGTTATTGGGTTTCTATCTCTCAGGGAGCGCGATACCACTATAGGATTTGGAAGTTGATGGAGTATCGGGGATCTGGTTTGAAAATAATAAACAAGTTCATGTCTCATCAACATCTCGGAACTGATGCAAATACAATCATGTCTGGATTTTGAAGCTCAAATGAGGCAATTGGTGCTGCTATGCCCTTGTTATGAATATGCTTGTTGAGATTGCATGCTAACCTACAACCCTTTCTGGAAAATATATACAGTTCCACCCCCGTGAATGATCCTTGACTCACTCCACCTCAAAACATCCATTTAATATTTCTTTCAGAAGCCCTTAATGAATACCACAAATTCGCTAGCCTCAGGATCCCGCCATATATCACTCTTCACTAAACATTCATACATATATCACCATAGACCTCAAATAAGTATCTAGAAATGTCACTTATAATCACAAAAAGAAAGAAATTCGTCACATGTTATCAGCATATATCGTCAAGTATTACCAGTTCACAAAGAGAATTAATTAAGATTCATCGACGATAGCGTCGAATACCAAGATGATTGCCATTACAAGGCTGAGTGGGCGAATTGTGAAACAATTATTAAAATAAATCCCGAACTATGATCGTTTAACGTTTAAACATAGATCCAACACTAAAAGTGTGTATCTAACCCTTCCCTTCCAAAGAATACCATGAAAATCTTGTAATTTATAACACATCAACCCCCCTCCTTTCCCCGAACACCCCCTTTTCCTCCCCCCTCCCCTTCTCCTCTCATTTCCACCCCAGCACAAACTCCGAACTCTATGGCTCATCCTTCTAGCGGAAGTTAAGAGCATCTGCAATCTCCCGCATATCTCACCGACGGAAAACTTCCCCAAGACTGCGCCATAGCGGCAGCCCACTTGCCTTCGACTAAAGTCTTGAACTTCTCGATATAGTGTTCTTTGGGATGTTGAGTTCCCCGTCTTCCGACCGAAGTTCGTGCTTCATTGCCGTGTATACAGCAATGCAAGTGCTGAACAAGTACGATAATTTCCTTGAGGGAAGTATACTTTAACAAGACAGGTCGAGGTCCAGTAGTGTAATTGATTGTCGAAAAGTACTCATTCGGAATGGCGATACGCTGGATCACTTCTTTCTTCTGGAAAGAACTAACTGTTGGTCCCCCTCTCTTGCCTGCAGATACATATTCTATTTTCGATTGGCAGTGCAGAATATCGACTTCAGGATCAAAGTACGCACGGCCGATTGGTCTGGGCGAGATACCAGGAAAGTTTGCTAGAGGTTGCTCTAAAAGCTTGTACGTCTCTAACGCGTATTCTCGAGTTGCCTTGCTAATTGATAGTGCGATCGGAGGCTTGGCACGGACATCACCCTGACCGTTAGCTGCAGCATGTGCAGCGGAGTTCAAGTTTCTCTGCTCGGTCGTCTGATAATCGATGGCGCTGCGGACAGCAAAACTTGGATCGATCAAAATGCAGGGCTGAAGATTCAAATCAAACATTCTCTGGCCAGGGAATGTGAACTTGAGGATTGAGAATCGCATTTCGTTGGGGATCTCTTTCCATCCGGGTTTGGTTTTAAACTTGATGTTGAACTTCACTATCAAGCTAGGCTTAGCTGATGGATCAAGTTCAGCTGCAGGTACTCTCAGGATAACCGTCTTGCTTTTGTGGGCCAGCTCCTCATGAGATTCGCGCTCCTCGCGTTCTGCTTGCTGGGCGGCGCGACGTTCGTTCAAGGCTTCGATAGCCAATGATGAGGAAGGACCAAAAATGGAAAGCTGATTGTTGGAATTCATTTTGAGAAGAAGCTATGAATCGACAGGTAATGGTGTGAGTGGACATAAAATGTTTTGGTAGTAATAGTGTACTCGTAGTGGTGAAACTTCAGTAAGAAGTAGAAATTAAATTAATCAAAAGGTTGAAGTAGTGGATGTCAGAAGTACGAATTGATTTGTTCACAAATATCGCTCAATTAAGTTGTCTTTGAAACGATGAAGTGGGAACAGATGAAGATGTTGCTTCCAAGCGCGATCATTCTGGTCCTGAAATACTCTCCAAAACTTTTTCCCAGAACCTCTCTACAACCTCCCTTCAAAACGGTCCTGACCATCATGGAGCTACTGGCGCCAGTATTGATTGGGCTTGAGTGAATCCTGTATATACAGAGAGTCTATTGATTTTCGGTTGAGTCACTTACATTGCTGCATTGTAGAGCCCGTGCCAAGTTGTCTAGCGCCTCCATGTCTCTGCGTTTCATGGTAAAAAGTAGTATCATTAACTGTACCGTCATCCATAAGATAATTTAAACCCTAATTTTTGTCTTTCTTCGAGCTGCAGTGAACATCATGTTCAATGGTGTATAGACGATGAACGAGATTCGTTGATGTGCCGCTAGTATCCTAATGATCGAGAATATTACCGAAACGAAGAATATATAGGGAGCGAAGTGAACATCGAGAGCCTTATCCACCCACACTGTGTTTTCTATCTTTCCAATGCATTCCTGTCCGCTCTCAAGTAAAAATAGAGACGGATCACAAAGTACCATCATGCAGAGCTCTCATGAAAGTAACGAGATGAAGCATAACCCATACTTATCTCGCAGCCCTAATCCTCCTAGCTGACACCCCCAACTCTCCATCTCAAACCCCATCCATACGACCCACTGAGATCTTTCTCTAATAAGCGCACACACATATACATACTTTTAATATATATTTTCATCTAACAAGCACACTGCCTTCACAAGATTATACATACACATACATAAACCACGCGATATTATAGTTTCTGTTCCCTACCAGTAAACTAGTGATTTGCATAGCATCCTAAAGCATCCATAGCTACACAACCCAAGCAAAGCAAAACCAACCCCAAGCAAGCGAAGATAAACACCCCATAAATGCACATTTCTCACGATCATCACCGACCATATTCATCTATCTTCACAACCTCAAAAAACCACAGTTCATATTTTAATCAACTTATTTATTCTCCAGCCGTTTTGCTCCCTAAAAATACATACGGCGCCATTAATAGTGTGGTGACCCAAGCCGAATGACGTAAGCCAAGAGAAAAGTACAGGTCACCACCTCCGGTATTATCTAAGTAACCTGAAGTCTTCCTACTGCCGAGCTTGACCACAAACTCCTGCTAAACGGTACATGGAAATGCAAACCTCAACCATGATGAATGCAGAAGTGACGTTTGAGCATGCAGAATCCCATTACATGTGCACATTCAGTGCCAATAAATAAAAAATTATGGAGTAGAGAACAGATGACTAATGTGGACGTGGTCTCTGTATCTTGGGAGTTTCTCAGGGAGAGAATGCTTTGGGTTACGGAAATTTTGCGGATGCATAGGGTAGGCTGGTTGCGCGGAAATGCCACACGAAACCAGAGATAAATGATCAGTTTGATCGGCTGGGAGATATGAAATCTGCGAAGACCACTTTCCTTGCTTGTTCACAAATCTGAGATGGCTCATTTATGATTCCTCCTCAGTCTTTTTAAAAACTCTGTGATGATGTTAGCTTGGTATGTGAGAGGAGTCATGTGAAGGGATCGCACAAATGTCTTTCGTAGAAACTGAGCATCTGCTTTTCGTGTTAGCTCGGGACAATCAATTGCATATTTGGAGATTCTACCTTCTGTGGGCAACGTTTGTAAACTTGATGTAATGGGTGTTGTGACTTAGCTCCACCCTTCCATGTCAAGTATACAATAACTTCCGCATTGGGCCCTTCCATAGCTTCAATAGTGACAACATCATCCTCCCAACTTCCTTGTGGTGGTTTGAATGAAACCGCTTCTCGGGATGCGGGTGGCGTCGACGAGGCAGGGTGGCCATTCTTTCTTGACCTCTTTCCGTTGGATTGAGGAGTACTAACACCAGCACTTGGTCGACCACGCTTCTTTGATCGCTTCTTTTCCGCTGCTTCCGCTGCCTCTGCTCTCTTCGCATTGTATTGCTCTATGAGTTGTTCTTTACCACCCACAGTCTCGAGATACGCGTTTAAAATGTCTTGCGCAGTTTCCCTAAGAATTCAATATCAGTCAAGTAATAGTATGGAGAGTAAGTGAAACTTACAAATTCTCTTCCGGTTCCCATGTCATATCTGACTTCTTTTCATAACCTTCCCACTTAACCTGAAACCTTAAGACACCCTTCAAAAGTGTTAGAAATATCCATCATAGCATTGAAAACTGGGTTCACCGACTTCCTCGTCAAAAGAATGCTTCAAAATCTTCTCAACCACATATCTGCCCTTCCGTTAGTGACTGAATGTAAACGCTACAAGTATGACCGTCGCATACTCATCCTCTGCTTGTTCCTCGTCGCCTTCTTCATCCGACTCAACCTTCAACTCCTCTGCAGGCTCTGACTCTTCTTCCTTGCCCTGTTCTTTTACTGGCTTTTCAAATTCTTGTTCGCTAGTATCGGAAACCGAACGCTCGTCATCGCTGATTTCTGTAAGAGGTGAGCGCGGGCCAGATAGTTATACCAATTCAAAAGACACCATCCATAAAAAAACACCAGTTGGATTGTATCTTCAAGACTTTATGATACGATATGATTTGTGCGACTTACGAGGAGGCATTATTGCGACTGAGCTTCAAATATGCGCAGAACAAGTTGTGATCTTTTCCTCACAGTTTCGAAACTCAATTAAGATAAAATAAATTCGAGATAGAAGACGAATTCAACTTAGAATAGTTGAAAATGAATGTGCCGATCTTTGAACGTGCGGAGTATTGAAAGAGCTACGAAAATAATTAGAAATGTGAAGGAGACGCGAATCTATCCAAAGATCAAGTTGCTTGGTGACAAGTTCGTGTTTTCACCAATCATGAAATAGTGGATAATAGAGTCACGGGAAGATGCCTGTTGAAACTCGGAATAATGTCGGCCCGAGGAGGTAGTCCAGATGTCATTCTAAAATCATCTCGATATTTTCACAGATTTATCTTCAACACTACCACATAAATACATTCATCGATTATACACAAATTATCTTCAAGCCAAGTCAAGAATCCACGCAAACTTGACTTGAAATAGAAGAGTCAACAATATTTATTTTTGGCGACAGGAAAAGGGGAGGCGTGGTTTGTTCAGGTGCATAGGGCAGAACTGTAGATGTGATTGTTTATTACTTATCTCTTCCAGACTATTCAGATCCTTATTTAGACAAGACAAACAATGCAGTAATAGTGTCTTAATTACAAACATCTAGCGGCGATTCATTTGCATATATATCTGCTCTTTGTGAATCCCAAACACTATTTCCATCCTTGCATAACCTTCAAGTCCCAGAATGCTTCAACATGGAAAGGGTTCCACCCAAAGGAAACTACTACCACTCATACCGGAATCCATAGCTTTTTCAGGCTCTTTCCCGTAGTTGGCCTGTCTCTCTTCGCCATTCCGCGAATACTTTCACTGTCACCCTTCACTATCTTCAACCCCTTCGCGATGACCTTCTCCCGTTCTTCCCCGTCCTCCAAAACCTCAGATTCTGTAGCTTGATGATGAACGGACTCTACATGTGCGTGAATCCTATTCTCGTATCATACATTCTACAATTATCTCCCCTCACTAAATACCGAACCGTCAGACACCCCATGTACTTAACTGGATCTGCACCAAGGAACTGTATAGAACAGATGTCGCGCCTTTGGTTTTGGGTTTATCGGTGACTTTGAACTGGGCTATTAAGGAATAAACAGTAGCAAGTTGTGTTCGCCTTATGTAATATCACTATCAATCAAAGGGTGAGGTCGTTTCGTATACCGATTCCTGGTAATGTCGTTTTTTTGTTGCTTACTTATTTTGAGTCCAATCACCAGAGATTAATGATAGCACCAAAAGTGATACGACTGGCAAAAATCATTTGGCTTGCAGCCTTTTTAGTATTTGAAGAGCTCTATCAAAAATATGTATTATTCCAAGGGAGCAGGGTTTTTGATAGTCTTATCATATTTCGCTTCAACATCAGCATCACGAAAACTTTTGTCATCCAATTCTACTCAGATCAAATGTTTCGGGCATAATCGATGAAATGTTCGAAGCTTTTTTTACTTCAAAGTCCACCACTAGACCTAACTATTGTTTTCTCTTCTCGCTTTTACGACAGATTTAGGATATTTAAAGTAATCCTAAGTCCTTCAATGAGAGGCTTATGCGATGTATGAGTCTCCCCATAATCAGGACCTGCTTGCTGAAACCATTCCAATCATATTTTGCGCGCATTAATGACGAATATAGCAACATAATTAATGATAGAAAGGTACATAATAATGGAAATATTCGGCTGTTTGATTAAACACCTGAGTTTTGATGATGACGGCACTTGAATCATGTACCTGCGCAGCTGGCTTAATGGCAGAAACCTTGGCATTCGTGACATTTTCTAGCTCTCCCTTTGAGACAAGCTTTGGAACAGCCGATTGATAGAGAGCTTGAAATAGAGACAATAAATGCACAAAAGGGCTCCCTTGATAAAATTGACAATTGAAACCCGGATGGAATAACACCGGTCCAAACTCTGCTCACTTGAGCATCTAATGAGCTTATTGTCCCAAGTCAAGATATACACTCGCACTGCACGGCGCGCACCACTGTATGAAATCATTCGCGCAATCTTTTACATCCTCCTGCCTCTCCGAAGGAACAGATATATTGGCTACCTTCATGAGCTATTTCCATTCAATTGGAGTCTCTTCCCGAGTAAAAAATCTTGCACGGGAAGTGTAGATAATAAAACAGTAGTAGGGAGGGAAAGCAGAAAGGAATTGATAAGAAAAAGCTTCAATACTCCATCATTTATCATCGCTTGGACATCTTTTCTTGAAGTCGTCTAATTTTAGTGATGCTTTTCATTTCCAAGCTTCACTCCAGGTTGACTTGAGTAAAGTTCAAGATAAACCCCAGCTTAGTCATCCAATAATCCACCAGATCACGGGATTTCCTGCCCAATTCGTGTTAAACCCTGACTTCTGCCTGGATAAAAGTGGGGTATTTCAGGCTACCTCCTCCATTGCCACACCTCACATGTCTCTCTCATTAGACATTTCACCTTGACATACAACAAACGAGAATTCATCACAGACTTCATGTTCTTGATGTTTCAATGAGAATCTCTTTCTCCAAAAAAGTATAAGTAATTGATGATTCTTCATCGTAATTTAAGCATTTCATTGATTCCTTTTTCATACTCTTCATACACACATCTATTCCTGTCACGCTCGATTCTACAATTGTTTCAATCATCAACCTATTCTACCACTTCCTTTAATCAATATTTCATTCTTTCTACAAGAAAATCGATTCATCAATTCATTATGCCTCGCGCAAAACGTCCCGTTGAGGAAGCTGAGGAAGTTGAAGCAATCGATTGGAGTCAATATGTTGTCACTCACTTGAAAGCTGAACTCGAGCGCCGTCAACTCCCAAAGACTGGCAAGAAAGCAGATTTGGTAGCACGTCTCCAAGCATCTGATGAGGAAGCGTTGGACAATAAACCCGAAGGTCTTGTCATCCAACCTCCTCCTGCTGAAGCTGGTCCTTCTACCACTTCCGATGCACCACCAAAGAAAAAGAGAGCCAAGAAGGAAAAGAGTCCTGATCTTGTGATTGAAGGACAACTTGCATCTGATGTCGTCGTCTATCAAAATGTTGATACTCGTACTGGAGAGAGACGAGAGAGAGAATTCGTTACAGAGCCTGATGCCAAGTTCAAAGACAAGGTCAAGCGAATCAAAAAGGAGCGTATGTTCATGTTGAACAGGAAGAAAGTTACTGAGATAAATGGAAGAGACCATGAGGATTTCGATATTGCAGGTAGTACCGGTAATATTTATCAAACCAAGATTGGACGTGTTCCAAGTTGTACCTGTATGGATGCAGTAAGTGGTGCCGACTCTCTCGTGGCATGAATCTATACTGACCCTGGACTAGAGAATTCGCGGCCAAAAATGCAAGCATATTAATTGTAAGTACTGTCGCACTGCAATTCACATACAGCCACAAACTAACAGATCATAGATGCCTTGATCATCATTTATAAGGCGCCAATGCATCTTTGCTACCAACAAGCATTCTTATCCCATGAACTGGAGTTCATCTGGGCCAACGCACCCGTCACCCGTGCACCTGACGGACACGATCCCAACGCCAGTCCCGAGGATGAAAGCAACTATAATGGCAAGCGTAAACCCATCGAAGGCGAATGTCCCATCTGTGTCTTTGACATGGATCCCGCCACCGAAGATATCGTTTGGTGTAAAGCAGCTTGTGGTCAAAACTTCCACAAAGATTGTTTTGCTCAATGGAAAGCTAGCAAGCATGGTGGACCTGTCACTTGTGTTTATTGTCGTACTCCTTGGCAAGATGATGATGCACCTCTTAGACCTGTTGCGGGTAGTTTGGCTTCGCTCAAGGAATCCGCACCTAAGGTGGGCAGTTATAAGAATATTGGTCACATGGATATATATTCTCAAGCTGCGTCCGGAAAGAAAAAGGGTTGAGCGTTGTTCCGTGTCGAATATTTACACGCTGGAGAAAGATTCAAAAGTCGACGTGCTTGAAGAATGGTAGCGGATGCATGGATACATTCTTGCATGGTGTAGCTACAGGAAAAGCGAATTACCGATGACTGGGGAGAACAAGGGTAAAAATATGTTGACAGAATTTACCATAGGATGAGCAGTACAGAAGACACGATGTTACGAATTTCTTTCAATTTCCCTCACAATTCACAATTTAATGGGGATAGAGGGGGTGATGATATACCCATTTGCTATCTGCTGTATGTAGCTTCTCAAATACACATTAATTTTTGCTCATAGCATGACCTATTTCAATCAACAATGGCATTTTTCGCTTCTGATGATGTGGTGACATGATGCGATATGATATCATTGGTATTTCCTCGTCATGAATATAAGGATGGTCGATTAGGGGGTCATGCATTATCAACTTACAAGCTACTTGAAATGCAAACCTTCTTGATTGGTAGGGAGTTGTGAATGATTCGCTCGATGTCTGGTAGAATTTTATTCCTTGTCTTGTAATTGTTGTTAGAAGGCGGGTGAGATAGCTAGCTGGTGGGATTCTGAAAAGAAGGGCGAGGGGCGGCGTAGATGAGGTGGTGGAGGGAATCAGGAGGTTTATGGTGTGTGTGAGTAGAGAGGGATATCGGATATCGCGTGAGGGGTGAGGGGTGAGAGGTGAGAGATTCGCTCACGTGAGAATGAGTGGATAAATGGATGAATGGATGAATGGAAGGGAGATAGTAGGGAACAGGAAAGGAGAAAATGAAGAGAGGGAAATGTCGGTAGGAGTGAGGAAAGGTAAAGGAAGCAATAGAGCGGAGTGTGTGGGGTATGGAGATGACTTTGGATAAGAAAGATTGAATTCAATTGTGAAAATTAGGAAAGGCGAGGAAAAGGGAAGGTGTGTAGAGTGGTGAAGATAGATAAGCTTACTAGATTGCACCATATCATTTCACATTCCATTACAAATCCAGCTAGACTCTAAAGAATGCATTTCATCTCCGATGCATGCATGAATGAATGAATATAGGACAGATGCGAGATTTCATATCTCTTTCTCTTGTGTATGTGATCTTTCTTTCATTCTCCCAATCTAAAGACAGATACATGTAGGATGAGACAGGGTACATTTAATCCTGCAATTTATTCTCCAGACCTCCCACTTCATCTCCTTCACCTCTCAAGAACAGGTACATAGAACTTTGCAATTTATTCTCCATCTCCATTCCTTCCATCCACCGTTGGAAAACAAGCACATAGAATTCCGCAATGCATCCACCCACTACTCGCATTGTCTTCATTCTTCGAGGGAATATCATTGAAAACGAGTACAAAAAACTGATACAAAGGGAGAAAGAAAGAAAATGTGTATTGCAAGAAGCAAATTTTGGTACTTGGTGATGACAGATGTGGTGGTACATGTGTGTGTGATTGAATCAAGACCAGTACATCGATCGATTATTTCCAACCGTGAAGACTGCAGATTGCGGAGGTCGTAAAGGACGTTGCGAGTTGAGGCTGCGATGCGCATTTGAATAGAATCAAGGAAAGTTCGGATCCACACTGAACAGAATAGCTGCTCCAAAGAACAATGAAAAAAGTATCGCCGAAAAAGAGTTTCAATCGTTGATCGAAATGATCTCAATATCGTAGTCAGGGCTGAGATGAAATATTGTTTTAGTTAGTGCAAATATGTGATTCCATACGACCGGATAGCGAATATGGAGCAAATTGTCGTTCGCCAAATTCAAAACGAGAAGATTAGTCTTCGTCATTTTGCGATAAATCATTGACGTAGCCACTACCTCTCTTGTGAGCCTGTCGCATCTCATGCTCATAATTGTACATACTGCGACGCCGGTTCAACATATCTTCAACAGGGCTTTGGCCGCGATATCTGAGTTGCTCATTTTCTGGGGTTTCTGAACGATTAGCTTCTTCTGGGGATGTAAGACATGGATCATTGTACCCATCAACTCCAGGGCTATTGCAGTCTGCAACAAGGTCCATGAATCGCTCTTCGAAATCTGTAAGATTCTTTTTCGCTTTGTATAGTTTGCGACGATCTTCGGCCACATTGTTGTCTTCCTGCATTAAAATTTGGCTGTTGCTAATGCCTAGGTTTTCATTCATGTGAGTCTCTATAGTATACAACAGGAGTGGAAATATTTACCATTTTCAGGATGATTAGTACCCAGTACATTTTCAAGATGATTCTCGACTTGTTCATGGACATGGCGAAACAGACGATTATTTAGGCTGAGACACACACTATCCGCAAATCTGTTCGCTGCAACAACATAATATCCTCGAACGTAAGCTGCGACATCGATTTGAACGTCAAAGTCATCTCTACCCAATTGTTCCGGGGTGACCTGACTTACGAGGATCTGTCTCGCCTTGTGGTATTCGGGAGTAGATTTTTCCGCTTTGATTTTTTTAATATTCATGGCTAACTGTTTGTCAACAAAGCAATTAGCACGATGCTTGTGGCGAGATTGCTGAAGCTTCTCCAGCTCAGCCTTCTTGTTCTCGTTGATCCCATCTTCCATCAAAGTGAATGGAGCGAAGTTTTCCGTTTGATATATATCTTCAAGCGTTTGGAGCTGTTGTTCTTGAAGCTTGTCAAGCCATTCATGAATAGCTTCCTTAGATCTCTTGAAGAGGAAAGTTTGTCGATAAATACCTAGATGCTTCTCCAGAATGCCTTGTACAGACAGACGTAGTATTGTCATAGCGGCTAGAAGCACTGCTTTGTAGGGCTCTTTCCACCTACTCACAGCTTTCTGACAATAAAATCGGTGAATCCTGGGATCTACTACCTTTGGTAGACCATAGCTACTATTCTGCATTCTGTTTTGAATATCGCCAATGCTCGCAAAGTTTCGACCAAGTCCTGCATATTCCTGGAAGACGGTTCCTCGGAAAGGGTTTGACGGACCTCTGGCATTGAGTATCGGTCTTGGTCTGGGTCTTTCAGGGGTCGAGTTTTCTGCTTTAAATGTTGGCGAGGGAACAACATCACTACTTACATCTTGGAATCTGCGCCTCCTACCAGATGTATCAGGTGCATCAACCAATGCAGATTCTTCTTCATCATCACTTTCGTCAAGATTAATGACCGGGATCTTTTGTGTGTCCGATTTATGCGAGCAGACGATCAATGGCTTAATATATATCAATAAATCGTGGAATTGGCGCGAAAGCTTGGTCCAATCCCCATGAAAATTGGTCTCAGTATGTTCGCTGGTCACAAGTCTCTTTACGTCTTGGCTGAAATTATGCAATAACCTCTGAACCTCAAGTTGAACGTTTTGGCTCGGCAACTCTGGAAGCTTCCGGAGATCTTCGTCGATCTTAGCTCTATACGCACTAAGTTTCTTTTGTATTTGAGGGATGCTATAGATGTTAGATAGCTTCAGGAATCGAAGGGTGCTCGGATACTGACTCTTCCTTAATCGAAGTCACGAGGAGTTCAGAAAGTACATTTTGAATTCGGTTAGTACCACATCTGTTGAGGAAATCAGACCATGGACCCTTCCACAGTGGATCATTTTCAAAGAATTCCACCTCTTCTTTGCGAGCGTTTGCATGATAGTCCGATTCGTTCGCTCGAAATTCTTGCCCAGGCTGTTTGGTAACTAACCAGCCATGTCCCAGTCGATGTTCCTTCCCTCTCAGGATATTCTCGAAATCTGTGTTACCTGTCCTATCTGCGAGAGTGTCTGGCTTTGTCAGTACTCCCACACATCGGCTTGTGGCGTTCAAATCTTCGATGACCTTTTTCGCTCTCGATAAGACCGGGTCAACAGTCATACTCATGGCAAAGATGATCAAAGTATTTTCTTGTTTAATGTACCTGTGAAGTGTAAGTGTGGTTGCCAATAGTCTCAGGAGAAACAAATCAACGAACTCTTTTGCAAGGTTTTCGAAAACATCCACCAAGTACTTCTCTTCTGGGTTTGGCATATTGGAAATAATACCAGGTAAATCGAAGAATGAAAGAGCGGGAAGTTGAGGTCCGTAAATCTGGACTTTGACAACATTTGGTGTGATTTTGGCTTCTATATCAGTGTTACCTGCTTTAGCTCTTTCTCCGGTGCCAGGTATGAACTGCTTGTAATCCTGGTCATGGTTGAGTAGAGCAATTTGAGCCCATCTCATATAATTCGCGAGTTCTGATTTATCTGTGAGTCTAGCGAACTCAGTTTGGACCTGATCCTGCTTAACCCAAGGTGGAAATGGTTGGTGTTTTTTTATGTCCTTGATCGTAACTGGCTGTCCCTTTCGCGCGTCGTACCTATAATCCTGTACAAGTGAGATGGTGCATGACCAATCTACCGATGGTGTGGTAATTATGTTGGCAGGACATCTAGTGCAACAGCCCTTGTCGCGAGGTACATGTATTCCTGCCAAGGCACACATCAGAGATGATTTTCCAGCACTCTGGTCTCCGACAAGTATGAGTTTTGGAAGGCTAGCAACATGCTCAAGTTCAAATTTTCGCATCTCATTGATATGATCGATCAGCTTCTGGGCAAGCTCACCAATCCGCTTGATACCGTCGCCGTTCTCCATATCGATGGTAACAGATTTGCTTCTATGATTGTTATCGGCGAGGTAATAGGAGTTAGGTGAGTATCCTGCCAGTCATTGGTGATTAGCTAACGTGCAATGAAGCATATGGATAAACTAGCTCTCACTGTTGTCAAAATGAAGAGCCGGATCAGATTCAGGCTGTTCGGATTGAGCTTGAGACTCTATGGTGCCGTGTAGATCTTTAGTGGCCGGTTTTTCCTTCTTGACTGCCCGAGGACCTGGTGGGAGTTTTGTGCGTGAAGAAACTGACAATTGCCCATTCGTGGGAGTGAAGTCCTCTTTCCGATTTCTGGGCACCCGATAAGCCATTATGAAGATGGATTATATAAGTTTTGGTAGTGTTATCCTGTATCAATTATGTATCAGCTACTGCATAGATCGACAGACTTAGAGGCATAGGAGGTTTTAAGATCGTGGTGTGCTGCATCCCATACATGTGAAGATGAAGAATCGGAATGCCATACCGTGCAAAAGTAAGATCTGGAAACATCAAATGAGATCTTATTCTGATAAAACAAAGGTAGAAGACTGTTCTATGGGACTTAAGATCGTTCCAACTCAGAGTCAGCCAGCAGAACGCACTGAAATTGTGGGAGAAGATTTTTGCAAGGCAGCAACTTGGACTTGTATACAGAAAGAGAGTGAAGCGAGTAAGTCCGAGATTTCTGCAAGTTGCTTTGCAGAAGTCAAAGAAGACTTCATACGAGTGACAAGAAAATTGGATAAAAGGAAGACAGAAGGAAACAAATATTGTCAAAATACGCGAGCGTGACCGCGTAGAGTGTTTGCATATGGTCTTGAGGGCAAATAGATTCCATGGGATGAGAGACAAAAGAATCTAAGAGTGAATAAGGAATTGGAAGGAAAGGCTTGGGAATCGGCGATTAGAGAAAATGAATAACCTCAATTCTGTAGCTTTGTTTGGTTTTTGTTTGATATCACTTTGGTATATTTCAGACGACTATCAGATTTGTATAGCCCTCTCCGCCAAAACTGATAGATACCTATAAAAACTGCAAAGAATGGTCAAACTAATTTTTATAAACACTCGAGAATCTGATAGAACTTCAGATATGCAGCTGCATCATTTGGATAGATCGTGATCCTATTCCTACTGCCCGTTTGGGTAATTCAAGGAGATTTGAGTGATGTTTGGACTCCAATCTGACAGACTTCACTCTAATCACCCCGCGGTAACGGGTAGTTGAGTCTTGATCCATGTTAATACGATGCGCCTCTCCATTGAAATGGATTCCGGTGGCTAGGATTCTTGAACTTGTTTTTTTGAGTCGGCTTCTCACATTGACCGAACGCGATACTCTCTTTCTTGTGTGTGCGTGATCGAGTGTCATGGTTCAATGTTGCGAATGAGGTACAGTCCTCATGGCTGGACTTGATGAGGTGTGATTGAAGTGAAATATATCTGTCTTTGGAGTGAGGGGAAAGAAAGTGGAGTCAGGAGCTGCGTGCTAGCTGGCTTATCCTCTTATCTTCACGTGACTTGTGCATGATTTATGTGTTATATGCACGTGCACGGACCATTGAGGCCCCTAATTTCAACGGAACAAGCCATGCTACTGAAATTCCACAGCTCTAGAACCAATGCCAGGTGTTCATGTTCATGTTCATGTTAATCCTGCAGAATTATATTGAAAAACATCCATAAAAAAATATATCCTCACCACTTCAATCATTCAAAATGTCCTTACAAATCCCACATAGAGCAAGACCAGGCAGTGCTGCTCAAGCAGCAACAAAGGCTGTTATTCTGGTAAATCTATATTCATAAAAGTATGCAGATGCGCAAGGAAGAAGGCTGATGATGAGGCTACTAGGTTGGTGGACCATCCAGAGGAACCCGCTTCAGACCATTGTCCTTGGATCTTCCAAAGGTATATACATTTATATTCCCTTCTTTCGGCATTTTACTAACTCTCATTATCTATAGCCACTCTTCGAAGTTGCCGGTCATCCCATCGTTTGGCACTGTCTCACCGCCATCGCAAAAGTCCCCTCCATCGAAGAAGTGTGCATGATCGGTTACTACGACGAATCCGTTTTCCGCGATTTCATTAAGGATGCTGCACACGAATTCCCTCAAATCAAGATCGTCTACCTTAGAGAATACCAAGCTTTGGGAACTGCTGGTGGTCTGTACCATTTCAGAGATGCTATCCTCAAGGGACGACCAGAACGTTTCTTCGTTCTTAACGCAGATGTCTGCTGTTCATTCCCATTGAATGATATGCTCAAGTTATTCGAAGATAGAGATGCTGAAGCTGTCATTCTTGGTACCCGTGTCAGTGAAGATGCTGCCAGCAACTTCGGTTGCATCGTTTCCGATTCGCACTCGCGCCGAGTTCTTCATTATGTTGAGAAGCCAGAATCGCACATCTCGAACTTGATCAACTGCGGTGTTTATCTCTTCGCAACCGAATGTATCTTCCCTTCCATTAGAACTGCCATCAAGCGCCGTACCGACCGTCCACGTCTTGTTTCCTACCCATCCTCCGAGAACCTTGAGTCCTCATTCTTCCAAGATGATGAAGATGTGCAAAAGAATGAAGTTCTTAGATTGGAACAGGATATTTTGAGTGATCTTGCCGACAGCAAACAATTCTTCGTTCATGAGACCAAGGATTTCTGGAGACAAATCAAAACTGCTGGCTCGGCTATTCCAGCTAATGCCTTATACCTCCAAAAGGCATCGCAAACTGGTTCTAAGGAATTGGCCAAGCCATCTGCCAATATCCTCGGACCAGTATTCATTCATCCAACTGCACACGTCGACCCAACCGCCAAACTCGGACCTAATGTTTCGATCGGTCCTCGTGCTGTCATTGGCCCTGGTGTCAGAGTAAAGGAGTCTATTGTCTTGGAAGATGCTGAAATTAAGCATGACGCTTGTGTTCTCTACTCAATTATTGGATGGAACAGTAGAGTTGGTGCTTGGGCTCGTGTTGAGGGAACTCCTACACCAGCTAATAGCCATACTACCAGCATCATCAAGAATGGTGTCAAGGTTCAAAGTATTACTATCCTGGGTAAGGAGTGTGGAGTTGGTGATGAAGTTCGTGTACAGAACTGTGTCTGTTTGCCATTCAAGGAGTTGAAGAGGGTACGTTTTTCTATCCTGTGGTACTCGCGTATTTTGACTAACAAAAACAGGATGTTTCCAATGAAGTCATCATGTAATGGATTGATGAGATTTATGTATGCAAAGGAATTTACAATTAATACTATGGCGTTCTTACTCAAGGTTTCTACCCACCGCTCTCCGTGATGTTTTAAAAGTCATTGGTTCATATCATAGATCAAAATCTATTTTGGTTAATTCAATTTCATTTTCCGAAAGCATCGTGCCCAAATTATCGGAACGTAGAGTACTGATCGTTTTCAATGTGTATGTCGGACAATACTCGGCTCGGTAGCACAGGAATGTATCGGGCATCTCACGGGAATATGCCAAGTCAATTTACTATTTCCATAACAGCCTTTTCTCCTTTCATGAAAAGTATTGGTCACTGCAGCAAGATTACTAACCCTCAACACAACATACCGGAAGGACGAAATATCTCCAATCAATCCCGGTTGTTTACAGCTGTGGTACGATGAATTAAATCCAACAGATAATAGAGGCATGTTAGGAGGCATTTTGAAAGACTAGAGATGTACAATGCCGAAAAGAGACCTCGACGCGGATGCGAGTTTATTATTCATCAAAGTCTGGAGCATGCATGGAAGGTTGGCGTGATGTCATACGACGATGCATCATGTAGGTGCGGGGAGAATGCTTCTTTGTATGGAGGTGGATATTTAAGATTGAGAAAGTCCTCGATGTTTTGCAATTGACATACACAATTCAATCCGTTCATTTTCCAATAATAATCTTACAAGTTACAACAATAATAGCAAAGGAAAATGTCAACACCAACACCTCATCCCCAACATGGTGTTCCATGTGGTACCAGTACTCCACGACCAGGTCTGCTTAACACTCCTGCACCTGGTGTACGTCCTCCAAACACTCTCAAAATTGCAGATTATTAACGTCATCTAGGTCCCCTTCTACACCCCTCTCCAAAGTCCCCCTCAGGCACAGCCCTCCACCCTAGCCCTTCAACCCCCAAACTCTTCACCCCTCTCAAAATCCGCTCTCTCACTCTTCAAAATCGCATCATGCTTTCTCCAATGTGCCAATACTCCGCTTCCAACGGCCACTTCACCCCCTGGCACATGGCTCATCTAGGCGGTATCATCTCCCGCGGTCCTGGTCTCTCAATGGTAGAAGCTACCGCCGTTTTACCCGAAGGAAGAATCACTCCTGAAGACAGCGGACTATGGTTAGATTCTCAAGGCGACAAACTAAAAGAAATCGTACAATTTGCGCACTCCCAGGGCCAACTAATCGGAATTCAATTAAGCCACGCAGGGCGAAAAGCAAGTATGGTAGCCCCATGGCTCGATCGCGCCGCCGTCGCAACAGAGGACGCAGGCGGATGGCCCACCAAAGTCAAAGCATCAAGTGCTCTTCCCTTTGACGAACATCATTGCACGCCTTCTGCCATGACACTTGAAGATATTCAAGAATTTAAAGACGCATGGGCTGCTTCTGTCAAACGCGCACTTAGAGCTGGATTCGATGTTATTGAAATCCATAATGCGCATGGGTATCTACTTCATGAATTCGTGTCTCCCGTTTCGAATAAACGGAATGATATGTATGGAGGGGGTTTTGAAAATCGCATTCGTCTCACGCTTGAGATTGTGGAAGTTACACGAAGTATTATTCCCGAGGGAATGCCGCTTTTTTTGCGGATTAGCGCGACGGATTGCTTGGATTATGAGGGGTTTGAGGAGGAGAGTTGGACGGTGAGGGATTCGGCGAGATTGGCGGGGATATTGGCGGATAGGGGAGTGGATTTGATGGATATTTCTTCGGGAGCGAATCATCCGAAACAGAGGATTACGGCGGGGCTGGGGTATCAAGCGCCGTTTGCGAAGGAGATCAAGAGGGTGGTGGGGGAGAGGATGTTGGTTGGGACGGTGGGGATGATTGGGAGTGGGGAGCAGGCGGAGCGGTTGTTGAGTGGGAGGGGTGGGGAGAGGGGTGTAGACGAGGATGTGGAGGGAGGGGAGGAGGGGACGCAATTAGATTTGGTGATTGTAGCGAGGGGGTTTCAGAAAAATCCGGGGTTGGTGTGGGAGTGGGCGGAGGAGTTAGGGGTCAGGATTATGGTGGCGCATCAGATGAGGTGGGGGTTTAGGGGGAAGGCGGGGGGGCATTAGAGAAGAGTGTTTGAACCTTTGATTTGGGGGGTGGTGAGAGGGGGAGGGGAAGGGGAAATAGATGGGGGGAGGAGAGGATAGGAGATGATGTTTGTGACATGCGACCTGCGGTTTTACTTCTTTAATTCCGTATACGTATAATTCATTCTAAAAAAATTGTTAGATTCTTACATTTCCTCCCTTCTTGAATGTGCGCTTTTACATCTCTCGCTGGATAGCATTATTCTTTTCAGAAATTGTACCCTTCGTATGGATCTATCATAGTTCCAAATCATGATTCATCACTGAGTACACTAGAAACACAAACTTCCAAGTTTCGACCCCTTTCCATTCAGATATCTGGAATTCCTACTATTTGATCCAACGCCATTCATTTCATCCTATCTCACCCCGTTCTATCTCAACGCATACCCTCCTACTTCCTATCATCCCACACCTTCCCCCCAAACTACTCTACTCCCAAGTCCAACTCCCAATTATTCTCCAAGCTAAGAAATCTAAAAGAAATTAATCAATCTACCATATATATCTAGGTATATACATATAATTCCTCCACACTATTACTTCATGACTATATTTCACAGATTAAATCAGATCGATTCGTATGCTAAGTCTAATGCTAATTCAATTCCCATTCTTAATTCCCGCTCTCTTCTATCTTCATCTCGTCATCTCTCATTTTCCATCTCTTATCTCCATCTCCTCCACATCTCAAATATAAATCATCGAAAACTTATCCGAAATCCTTACATAAACTACTCCTCCATTATTTTCAAGTATCTTCACATCTTGAGAGTTGTGTAGTTGATGGGTGGGCGCTGGTGGGTAGATGAGTAGATGTTATTTGTTGTGTTTGATTAGGATTGGTTGGATTCATTGAGGTCGGGATTGAGATTGAGAATTATTGGAATTGGGATTGGGATTAAGATTCTGTATGAGTCTTAGTGTATTGAGATGATTTGGTGGGCTTAGATCTTTCTGGATATCTTTGGTATGGATGGGATTTGGTGGTATGTGTGAAGTGAAGTAAAGTGAGTGTCTTGCTATTTTACATATTTTGAGAGAGAGGTACGGATAGCGCCTGCACGGAGAAGTGAGGGGCATACACAAACACAATGTTTCTCATACAAGCATTTCCATTATGAAGGATTGATGAAAGACCTTCTAGGCATGCTGCTTTGAGAGAATGGGGGTGAGAGTGTTCTTGAATTTCAATAGACCCAGCCTTCTCTCTTCAACTCCCAGCATGCATACATCACCTCATCAAGCAATAACAACTCTCGTATCCCCTATTTCCCGAGGTTTCCAATTTTTACAGTCTGCTAACCTGTGTATTCAGAGCAAAATTGATATCACATCATATCATATAACCACATAGGCAGTCCAGTATCCAGAATCCATATATCTAACTTCCATATTCCTCTTAACATTCTCGCTGACATCAATATACTATACGTATATATATATCTGTGAACTTCACAATGCAGGGATATCTATAATCTAGACGCTTGTTGTTAATATCAATATTGCTCAGAAGGGCAAGAAAGTGTGATGTTTTTTGATGATGCGGGAATGATGGGGTTTTCGTGCTTTCTTGGGGAGCTGCTTGGATGCTTTCTGCGTGTAATATGTACTATCTGTAGTCTCCGCTTCTTGCCAGCGGAAAGCAAAGATGGGACCAGCCGTTCAATGTCTAATTCTCATTAGGATTCAGTACTAGACTGCCGGTTTACACGGAAGCTTCACTGCAGCGCGGTGAAATGGGGAAAGTGTATGATTTTTCGAAATTTCATCTCATGTTAACATATCATAAAATTCCAGAGTCATTCTTTCATTCGAGTGCGAATACATGAAAGTGTTTCGCTTTACAATGGAGTTTCAGATAGCTTGGGTGATCGAAACAGGCCAGAAGTTATGGCGGTGGATTTTGCGGTCACCTGTTACTACTTAGGTAGTATCCACAGTTTGAAGATCTATCGTTGATTGGATTTGACCACCACGGAGAGTGAAAAATACCTCGAAATACTCATGTTGAAGTTTAAATCACCGTAGCGAAAGGAATTACATCTTTGAACAAAGTCCTGATCCTCGCTCGTGGCGATATAGAGAGTATGTCCCAACTCTGTCCTCTGCATGCCAATCAATTGGAGATATACTATTACACTACATGCTTTCTATTTGTTTTCATCATTGATTCACTTGTTTGTCTTATGTTTTGACCTTGGAGTAATATTACACCAACGAAGCGACGTTTTGAGGGAAACCCCTATTTAAAGCCACTAACATAGACAGGAATATCCCATGGAAACATCGGGACTAATAATTGGTAGAATATCATGAACAGATTGAATATCGAATGGTTCTCAAATATCGCATTTCATATGAATGACACCGCTCAGTTTTTTCCACTAATAATTTAGGGTTGAAATTAATGTAGCAAGGTCTCTATATCTGCACCACTTATCACCAAGAGGGGACTATCCTAAACGCTGTCCAGAGCTCATCGCCTGCAAATCTTCAATTGACTTACCTTCTCTCTAAAAAAAGAAATCCAGAATGTACAGAAAGCTCAACACACGTGAGTGAGCATTGATTCTTGAATGGACACTACCCCATCCATTACCTCGCGACCAACAACCGGCCTACAAATCCTAGCTTGAAGCGACCAACCAATCGTTCCTCCCCAAGTTCACGACTTGGAAACTTGGAGATTGGAATAAAGTATCTGCAATCACTATAAAATACCCAAGCCAATAGATTTCGCGATAAATCCCCTTTTCTGACATCTGAATCTTAGGTAATGCCAGTCTAGATGATTCATATATTGTGGCGTTGAGTATTGATGGTAAAGTAACCCTCATACATACGCCACCAGGTAGAAGACTGTAATGAGTAATAAAGTGGGGGAATGGGGGAATGGCTTGCTCGTGTCTGCGGACGTTGATTAGAAAAACTTAGGTAAGTCATGCCCAATCTTCAAATAGAATGGGAGAATGTTAGCTTGAAGATATCAATATATTGATACTTATGTCGAACATATTAACTATAACATGTGAGAGTGCCGACTCGGCAAAGGAGCCCGAGTAGATTGTGGATCTCGATGTCTAGCATATTGACGTATTGACTTATGAATATGTTGATATATCAATTTGTTCATCTCCTCGTATGCTGACTGATGAATGAGATGAAGAGATGATAAGGATAGCTTCAAGGGTTGTTTGTTTTTTGATGGTCTCGACCTTTCTATCAATCTTTGTGTTGATCAATCAAGAAAATCTTCAAGTGTGCTTGCATGCTTGTATGTTGAGGAGTGACGACATCGGCTCTATGTCCCGATTGTATAATGGAGGGTGTGGCAGATGAAACATTATGAGAAAAAGAAATAAAGTTATTGAATTCAATTGAATGGATATAATAGTTGGAAATAATGAAGAATAAAAATAGAAATACCAAAAATAATAACAAAGAAAATAATAAAAATAATAAAAATATTATTATTATTGATATCAAAAAAACTCAATTCAATTGTAAACAATGAATGACTCAAATCCGAGGCATATCAGAGTCATTGTTACATAACGTTGTCAGAATGGCTGATTTCGACTCATTCTTATGAAGATTTCCACTTTGATAAATTGGCCACCACTTGGTATCAAATCCTTTGGGTTCCTCGTGATATCAAAACAAGAACATCAATATTAACATCAACATCAACATCAACAGACAAGAATATCAACAACGCACAACAAAAAAGCATATCATCTGCGATTCCTTCTTACCGACTGATTGCACGGAAACCTTGCTGACAATCGACTCAATTAACTTCATCTATCATACACCAAAAAGTCGTATTTCGTTATCTAGATCAACATTCCATACCGTCTTTTCAACATCATTCTATACCTATTCGTGATAACCCTCCGAGACCTCTTATGCCCAGCTCATCGATACCTCCTCGATCTTTAGATACCATGACATCCAATCTTTCAAATCCAACAGGTCAGAAGCTCTATTTACATATTCACCGCCTTCATATTTGCTTGATTTTCCCTATCTTCCCCTTATGCATCAACCTTAAAACCCGGGTCGTAGTGCATATTATGGCTTTCTGCCTAGGGTCATCTGCTTGCTTCAATTGAACTGATGCGTTGGCAGATATTACAAACGAACATGATTCCGCCTCACAAGCTCTCGAACTTCATTCTCCAAAGCCGCTGAAAACAAGGATATGTCGTTACTTCAGTAAATCAGGTAAATTCTCATTTTATTTTATTCATCCATCAATTGATTTGGAATATTTTCATTGGATTGCCGGAAATTGGGGAGAAAAGAGAATTGGAGGGTATCGTCTTGCATATGGGGTAATGCAAAGTTGCATGATGTTGCAGTCATGGTGGAGATCCCGTGATTCACCGATCATCGGTAATGAGCGTGGGATGTTGATATGATCATGGAGATGAATGGTTGGGGGTTATCTGTTGAACCGTGGCGTTTGTCATGAGGCGTTCGTATCATTACAATTGTCATTACCATTGGGTATATCTTGGGTTACACCACGTGATATTGGAAACACATGTGAAAGCACATGAAGAGGAAATCAGCTATGCCATGATGACAAGGTACTAATATTGATATTTTAGGGAATTGTCGAGCTGGTGACAGTTGTTCATTCATCCATGACCCGACGAAACTTCCTAGCCGTGCCACGGTAAACAAAACAGTGCCCGAGGTTTCTCAGGCTTCGATATCGGAAGCTACACAAAGACAAAATGTGATTCAAAATCATTCATCACAAGCTATCACAAATCCTGTTCCAGCATCACGGGTGGTGTCAAAGCCGGTACCACAAGCACAAACTGAAAACCCTCGAGAATTTCAGCTAGGACAAATTCGAAGACGATTTTCTCCCAAGGAAATTCGCCCATCTGGAAATGCCGAGGGTACTACTATTCTCAAGTTCAATCTCACACCGTCGGATCCAGATTTCCCTTTTGAGATGA